AGTTTTTTTTTTTTTTTTTTTTTCTCCCTCTCCTTGATTTATATAAAAATAGGTAGTTGTTATTTAAGGGTATATTCTGAATGAAACTCGCATTGATCCTGACCAGTAAAAAATCACAATGAGTTAAATTAATTTAAATTGTCCATAATTAAAATTAACAAACTTAACCATTGTGATAAACAAGTTGATTGATGTTGTCCTCAATCTTACACTATATTTTTGATAATAATACAAAAACTTGTGTGGTAGACTAGCAGTGTGTGATTGCATAGCATATATATGCATGCATGGAGATACTCATCAAATTAACCTCACTTGTGCTTTAATTTTTTGAGATTAACGTAACGTACTTGTTTATATATGCCTATTCAGATCCTATTGCAGTAGCCCACTTTATTAATTATTACAATGAATGATGATAATGATTAGCGTTAATCATGCTTTTCAACTTTAGATCATTGACTTGTAATTATTTGCATATATGTCTAGCTCAATCCATCCTGGCTGGTCAAGTATACCTACAGAAATATATAATATGTGCGAATGGTATTTACTATTATGGTAATAATGTTGAATGATTTGATGTGATGTATTTGAGTGGTGCTATAGTAGGTGTAGGCATGCTTTTGGAGATGGAATGCAATTCAGGTGGCCCACGTTGCAGTATTATATTTTTCAAAGTAGGGAGGAATGGGTGTTTGATTGGAGTGGACAAAGATAGATGATGATGAGGTGAGCATGCAACAATATAAATATATATATATTATTAATAACCTAAAAAGAATTGATCTTGAGAATTCCGTCATCTATGATCTTGTCTTAAAATTTTAATAAGATTGATAACCGGTATTCATTAATGGATGTATACCTCTTTTGTTAGTGTAACTAAGCTAATATATAGTTTGAAAATCCTAACAGGTTACGTTGGTAACATGTGTTCGATTATTATATTGCATACATGTTTTGATGGTGTAACTAAGTTAATATGCTGAGTTATGTGCAGTGGGATATACAAAGAATTGAAATATAATTAATAAAGTAGATAGGATGATATATATATAGGGAGCTAGGTCTAATTATTTAAGTGGTTGTTAGAATGTGAAAATTGATTGAATTAATTAGGAAATTAAGCATGAATAATATATGTTGAGCATGCACATAATTAATCATGGAGGTGGCAAACTCTGTTTGTTTGAATAATAAATCAACAAAGTCGGGCATTAGTAAGTAGTAGATAGCTACCCGGGCCTTCACATGTGTGCATGCCCCAGGCCGGCCATTTTGAGAAACATATATGACTACTCGTCTACTCACAGCTCCTTCCACCACTGCTATATATCTATCTTCATGTCTTTTCAACATTATATATATTATATTACACTACGCGTACACATGCATATATGTATGCAAAAATTGAGATTGGGTGTTGTGGTATTGATCACAAATTATCATCGGATCATATCATATATATATATATATATATTAATTAAGTAAGCAAGAGAGTGACGAGCTGATGAGAAGAATCTATTGCAGAAATAATCTGTATATATGTATGTGTTGTTTTAGTCTTGGGAAGATTATTTTAGCGAAAGCTAGAGTATTATATTGTTAGTTCATTCCTAAATTAAAGTAGGTGTATGTGTGTATGTATGTTTTACATCATACTCCGTGATTAATATAATGAACTAATTAGCTGCATGCATGCTGCAGTATCATAGTTTAATTTACAGGCCGGCCGGCCAGGGAATTGGAACATGATAGAAATTAATATAATGTAGCCAATTATTATATTAATTAATTGCGGGCGCGCGGCAACCATAAGTATATATACCGTACCGGTCAATCTTCAACATATATATATCCTCCATCAGCTCAGCTCTTCCGATCCATGGCATGGCCTCCGGATTCTCCCACCGCATATATATGCACCTTCTCCATCCTGCAAATTAATTAAGAACGTATATATGTAACCCATCCAATAAAACGGAGTACTAGCTAGCTTTCAATATTCAACAATATAATATAGGCCCTGTTTGGTAAAAAATTTGCCTATAGGCCAATTTTGGCTTATTTGACCACTATTAATTGTTTGATTTAGTTAAAATATCAATATAAATGTTTGGTTAATTAGCTTTTTGCAACTCCAAAAGGCTAAAATTAAAAAAGCTACTCCTAGCAACTTTTTCAATTAGCTTTTTGAGAAAAGAAATTATACCTAACAGCTAATTTACCAAACACTTTTCTACAATCAGCTAATGTTATCAACTATTTATACCCTTTAATTAACACAATCAGCTAACAGCCATTTTACCAAACAGGGCCGTAATATAATGTCGTGGTCGGGCCAATGATATGATATGATATATATATATATATATATATATATATATATATATATATATATATATATATATATATATATATATATATATATATATATATATATGATGTTCGTGTTTTTTTTTTTGGGTGTACTGTACTGTAGTATGTCATTCAATTCCATTATCCATATATTTCCGTGAAGATCAGATCAGAGTTACGTTGGTTCATCATATCGATCAGTTAGCAGCTCCGATATGATCCACCTGTACCTACTGCACAATAAATATATATATATATATATATATATATATATATATATATATATATATATATATATATATGCAGCTTCCTCTGATCTCTCTCTGCAAAAGCACCACAAAAGCCTGCACATCAAATTAAAGTACGTAGAAAGGAACAAAAAGAAGAGAACAGAAGATCAGATGACATTATATGTTAATTATTATCATTCCAATTAACTGCATATTTTCATTTTATCCGCCCTAACATGCATTATATATATTAATTAACCAACATTCTCTAACAACTCCACAGCTACCTACCTCTGCTCTTCCAAGTTCCAACATCAACTTTTCTAAGTTTTTAGATTCACATACACGATAAATTTGATTAATTAAGCCAACAACAACCCTATGAATGTAGTATATAGATTCTAATTCCTATTATTTCGCACTGATGATTGATTGAACTTGGCTTTGATTTTCTCCACAAACTTGTCAACATTCTTTACTGATGATCCGTTGCTGCCCAAAGCATTTTCAAGATTCTTCCTCACATCCTTAATCGCCTTCCTCAACTCAATCGAACTTTCCGCCTTCATCAAAAACTTAACCTTGGATGCAACTTCCTCCTTGCTGATTGATTTGTCGTCGTCATTACACAGATTAATCCCAATCTTCCACTCATCCACCACTAACTTACGGTTAGTGGGTTGATCAACAATTAACGGGTAACATATCATTGGAACACTGCACCATATACTTTCCAGAATCGAATTCCATCCGCAGTGTGTTATGAAACCTCCTACTGCCGGATGTGAAATCACTGCAGGTTGATGGCACCATGGCACGATCAACCCACGATCTCTGACGCACTCTTGAAATCCATCCATGGAGAAATCCATTTCGTCTGTAATGGCCATACCAGGACGGAGAACCCAAATGAAGTTCACCTCACTTAGCATTAGCCCACGCCCCAACTCCATGATGTGTTCTTTGGTTAAATGAGCAAGGCTCCCGAATGAAGCATATAGAACAGAACCAGGCGGCTTTGAGTCCAGCCATTTGCAGCAATCTGACTCGGGCAACAGGCTCCTGAAAGCTGTTTGCTCGGTGAAGCTTTGTGGAAAAAGGGGACCAATGGCATAGAAAGGTTGTTTTTCTTCAAGGGCTGATATGGTTTGTGGTTCAAGTTCTTGGACAGTGTTACATATGACAATATCAGCTTTCTTGGCATCCTCAAAACCTTTGTACACTGTCAAGTAGACCGCTGAGGTTGTGTTGTTTTCTTGCTGCAAGTACAGTGGCAGGTCTCTTGGTTCAATAGCCTCCACTCCCGGTATATAATCTATTGAATCCTTGCGACAATCTGGTGAACAATAAATTAAAAGAATAATGTTAGGTTAGTTGAGCATGATGGTTTTGATCCAATTCAATATAATTTTTCTTACAGCCTGCACTGACCTTTACAGCCAAAATGGCCATTTTCTTTGAGGAGGTCCAAATGAGAGTCAATGGCAAAAACAAGCGCCGGTTCGGTAAAGAATGAAACATTCACAAGGTTATACTTGCTGGCAATAATGGACGGCCATGCGTAGAAACTGTCGGCAATCAGACATGTGGGCGGAGGCTCCAAACCCGCCAGCTTCTTGACAAGCTCATCGACGTGAGCTGAAAAAACGTACATCATACCCATCATGAAGCCATAGGCATCTGTGGTCCGATCAAAGCCGAGGGGAAAGCCATCACTGATGGTTGTGTATCGTATGTCAAGGCCTGAATTTCGGGCTTGGGTGAAGATATCATCTGTAGGAGCTGTGGTGGTGCCTCTGCGGGCTTTGATGATCAGAGAATCAATCAATTCTGTGTTGACAAAGGTGACGGTGAAGCCTCGGGAAGCAAGGTTGATGGAAAGATGGATGGCTGGATTTATATGGCCTTGGTATGGCATTGGAAGCACTATGGCATGATGCTTTTGGTTATTTTCTACCATTTTCCTGAAACTCACGAGCTTCTCTTCTCTTTGATCTGGAATGGCTTCAAACTTAGCTTGAATGAATTGAAGGAGATCAGAGAATAAGTGCAAGCTAATAAAGGAATTGAAGAATCTACAATATAATTAATGATTTTAATTTGTCGTTAGCATTTATCATATTAGTATTATCTAGATAGGAATATATGATCTTAAAAACAAAATTATGGATGGCACTGATACTGATGAACAAATAAAACTTAATTAATTAGAAGCAAAAAGACATGTTCACTTTTAATGATTGTGCCGGCTGATGGAGATATGTGCTAGCTGTTTAGCCGGCCCATGCATATATATATATATATATATATATATATATATGCTGACATGCAACTTGCTATTTCTGTGATGCATCCTGACATTTTGACATCACAAGAAAACAATTAAGAACAAGACAACATATATATACCAAGAGCTCATGATGTTGTAATTTCTTGAATCTTGATTAAGAAAGATCACAGTTAAAAATAGCATTACAAAAATATCATGAGCTCATGATCACAGTTAAAAAGCTCATTTAATTTGCTCAAGTTTTCATAAACCAACTTTCACCACTCTTCTTCTACCTTTACCATTGAATTGGTTGTATGCATTTCATGAATTGGGAGCCAATTAAGCATTCATCCCATGCATCTATTCAGTAACTGAGATCCCATACATACCACAAAAAGTTTTTATCTCTGGAGCTACTTAATAAGAGAGAATATTATGATAGAATACTGGTTGACTATGCATGATGCTTCACCATAAAAATATAATTATGGTAATAAAGCGGTTTTAACGGAACATTTACCTTTGAGAATGATTGATATCCAACCCATTGAAAATGAGGTTCATGTGAATGGTATCCACGTGGATGAGGTTCACTGCTTTCTGATTTGGACAGACACAACCTGTACATGGGGTCTCCTCGATCTAGAACATGCTGCTCCCAATCTGATCGAATGCCAAATGGATTTTCCTTAAGCCAACCGCCTTGGTGAATTGCAGCTTTATCCAAATTTTCAACTTCAAGCTTTCCCTTTCCATATTTTGAAAATTCTTCTTTCATTCTAATAGCAACTTCTTCTATGTCAGATTGGAGAAATACCTGTCTTTCAAAAAACATAACTATAATTACCTAATTTCCCTTGCAGGATAAAAGAACAAATTAAAACAAAAAGTTGGATCACGTCCTTTCTGCATCTAGAAGGCTATTATGGAAATACAGAATAAGTCTTATGTGTTTCCATATTGCATTGCATTTGATAATCAAGTAAAACAGAGTGTAGGACGACTAGGACATCGTACGTACATACAATGAAAAGTTGTCATTACATAATTAATTACCTTCCCTCCAGAGGCAAGCAAGTCGGCTATTGCTTCAACCAATGACTTCTGCAACATCCTCCACCGGTGTCCTGGTTTGTTGAAATCAGGATTTGGACACTGCATTATGAAGAAATCTCAGCTGTAAATGATTTACAGTCAGTCTCAACTCTCAATCATTATTGTTACCATCAATGTTGAATATTACTCTGCATTAAAGTATTCTTGACTCGGTAGTCAAAATCAGCAGAACCACAACCAAACTCATTTAAGCTTTAACCCTAACTAGTTAAGGTTAGCTAAAATTATAAATAAAAGACACAATAGCATTTATACCTGAATTGATACAAGAACCAGCCTTCCAGGGTAACTGGAAATAATGGACCGAAATGTTGATGTTGCATTTGTTGCAACAAAGTGTCTATCAATCAGAAGATAGATAAATTATAAATACATTGGCCAGATCAATAGAAGCAAGCCCTAAATTAGCTTCTCAGTTCAGGATAATAAGCTGTTTAAAAGGGGAGGATAGTACATACACATTCTTCATAACAGATTGAGAAACATGGTCCAGACAACGTTTCACCAACTGGAAAGCAAGTTGAATGAAAAGATTTATTAGGTTTGAGAAAAAGCATGGGAATGAAAAATACTTAGGCAGACGAGCTCCACCTTCCTATTTATCTCGAGGCCAAGAAAATTGAAATCCTTCCTCCTTGCCATTCCAAAAAGAAACAAGCCATTCCCTATAGAGTTAAGACATAAGGAGCTTAAGGTCCAATTTCTTCTTTTTCAGGTCTACATCATCCAAGACTTTGGAGTTAACGGGCCAATAGCTAAGAAAATTGAAAAAGCAACTGAAAACAATTTACTGTAATATTGAAAACATAATGTTTCTGAAGAGTTGACACCATTTAATCCAGCAGGGTAGGAGTATGATTTTTAGATTATCAGATTAAATTGTAGCTCAGTTATGATTTCTGAAAAGATCACTCCATTTTCTCCAGTTGGAGACCAGGTAGCTTTGGCTGACATTTAAATGAGAAGTTTAGAATTGATTATTACAGATGGAACAATTAGGAGATAAAGAGAGTTACCACTTCCAATATCAACAACAAGAGGCCTGTCGGGATCATTATATATACATTTCCAATCCATCTCAAAAGGGTATGCCTGCATAAATATTAGCATGGTTGCTGTTATGATCATATTGGTAGTTAACCTTATTTTCACAACTAGTGATGGAACTATCCGGGGCTAATCCAAGATAAGTGCAATGACTCACTGATACTGATCTTAAGCAGAACAGATGGCACTAAGTTCTCATCTGAAAACCTCTCTTTCCTTTTATAAGCAGTTCTCATATGACAACCTCTTCAAAGTAGTGTGTTTAATTACAGATTGTAATTGAAATGATTTAGAATACGTACTCTATCTAGTGCCAAGAGCCCGGGAAGATTTCTTCCTTTCAGAAACTCCCACACAACAGAAGCATTTTGAATCATGTTTTCAGCTGTAGCAGAGCTGGAATTCCCATGAAATGCATCACATGCCATTTTCCCAACAATACTTACATCACAATTCCTTTGACTTAGAGCATCAACCATTGCTGCTAACTTGGATGCTCCACCAGCATTGAGGTTTGAGGAGCTGAATTTTACTGGGCCTATCCATATAATTTTCTAAACACATCAGGAGCACACTCGTCAGGGCATTTAATTTCCACAAAATAACTCCTCAAGAAATTAGAGTATACAATTATCTTATTCTTATCATAAAGAACCAATCAGGCAGCATTGCTCTAAACTTAGATTCCTGAAAGCAACTCATGGAAGAAGAAGAATAACTAAATTAATTAAATGTATTGTAACTAATGAGATCTTAGTCATAGGGAGATCACCTTGCATTTTGAAAGAAAGCTAGAAATTTCCTCCAGTGTGCTGGGTCCAAGATCAACAGGTTTCCAACCTACAAAGGAAGTGGCAAATGGAATACACAAGAAACTGTGAATTTATCTTAAGTCGTAAATGACCAATTCAAGAGCAGGTGAAAGATAATTGCATTTTCTAAAGTGCACTATTACATAAGCAATTCGGGCATACAATAATTTTTTAGTAAATCGTCAATGTTATTTGCTAATACTCCATGTATCTTTTCTTTGCATAAATGACTTTGAAGAATCAATCAAAGCTACAACAAAAAGCAGTATCTACACCAAACAAATGAACAATTATGGGTTGTTATTATTATACAATTATTATCATAATTATTGACTCTGGATAATAGGATTTATGCAAGCATCAACTATGGCAGGTGATCCAGTAGAAGATTTTAAAAAATGACAAAATTTTACCATCTAAAATGGAAGAAGCTGAAGATATCTCCATCTGATGTGGGTTACTATAACTTATGCACCAAAAATCTTTTGGTAATACAATTTCTATATTTCTTGCCTTTGCAGCCTCAACTATGGCATGGGCTTGTTTGAGTGCTTTGCGTTCCACCAATTTAATGGGAACAGGCAATCCAAAGGCATGCATTATTTGAAACGCCATTTCTCCAACAAACACCAAAGCATCACAGATAGATGCTAAAAAATGTAAGGCAGCAGCTTTGTCTATGAGATTACCACCACCAATCTGCATTAAAATTTAAGTGTTACTAAATCACATAAACAAAAATCCTACCTCATTTGAAAGAAATACGGAATATTAAAAAAATTGATTCTGAAGAACAATACTATGGCAACATAGGGCTTTTTATCGGTCCTGATGATCTTTTCTAGTTGAGATAGGCCCAGCTGAAAGTGGAACCCCGCAATGCAGGCAGAACAAAAGCAAGCAATACCAACAGTTGAAGCAAGAATTTTATGCACTTCAGAAAATGAATCATTAACAAAAATATCAACACCAAACGATAGCTGTTGGGCAAACTTTTGACAGTTGGACACGTCATCTTTTAACTGAGAAATATTCTCAAGCAGAAGGATGTCAAGTTCTGTTCTTTTTTCAATCCAAGCCATCATCTCTGAAGAACCAAGTTTTGTTGGTATAACTTTGAGTTGTAGAACAGATGAAAGGTATTCTGGAACACAAATTGAAGCATCAATTAGACGGTGCAGAAACTATATCATAGCAGCTCCCAGCAAGTCATGCAAAAGTCTACTCCATTAGATGGCCTCCTAACACCAGTATGCTTCTTTTTTTTTTTGGTATACATTCAATGCAGGTGGGTTGAGGGGATTGAACTCTTAACTCAGAAGTAAGGAGCCCTCCCCTTACCCCATGGCCACTTCACTGGCAACCCACATGGCTGTTACTCCGCATCGTATATATTATTATTATTCATAAACTACATCACATAAAAGCACATATGTGCAACAGGAAACAATTCACTGCTGAAAATATGCTGTCCTAGGTAAACCTATTTCACTTGGAAATCCTTCTTGTAAGACACCACATGATGATTTTATGAAAAATTAACATGCTGATTTGATGTGAGAAAGCATAATATAAAATGAATTTGATCATTAGAAGTTCTTATACCTGCAACAGCTTCTAATGCAAGAGGCTTAGAATTAATTGTTGAACTCCAGCTACCCACTAGAATTACTTTTGCACGAGCTTCACAAAGATACTTAACTGTGGAAGCGGAATGGGGGTCTAGTTTCTTCTTATCCACTGGCAGAATGGTTGAATCAAATCTAACCATGACAACTTTCCCAAATAGTTCTTCCTTTGGAAACTGTCCGAGGGTTTGTACATGAGGGAAGAGACGTAATTCTGACTCATAACAAGCTTCAGCCTTATCCAGAGCAGTTAGTTGGCTCTTGACTGCAATCAAAGATTGGAGCTTTATAATGAAGTAGCTATAAATTTGAAATTTTTAGTAATTTATGCATTTATAGGAATTTACCTGGTGATGAAAATTGAAGCCGCTGAAATTTCTTGATTTTCCGGCAAGTCCTACGCAACTTGTGTTTTGGGGATGCGAGCGAATTTTTCCGACAGACGAGGAAACATTGATTTCTAAACAGAAGAAATGTTTGGAAATTTTCCAGAATTTGACTCATCGTTCCTAGCCTTCTAGGAGTGAGCTGATGAGACAGAAAATGCCTGCAATCTATCCCCACCTCAACCCATTATTCTTATGTATCATATACCAGACTAATTTCTGTTCTCATTTATAATTGATGTTTAATGTTCTTGCCCCAACACAATTCACAAATTGAATTATCGTGTGCTTGCAAAACATTATGATTTATTTGTTATGTTATTGTTGTTTAGTTTCTTATTAGTTCAGTATAATGTTTAGCTCATTGGTCTCTATGTATCGGAGTCTTGCACCCATCTTTCTTAACTAGCTAATGAGTAATGACTATTACCTTCGATTAGATTAGACCATAATTACCTTTTATTCAATCCCGCACAAGCTTTAACTTAGTGGTTCAGTATGTAATATTTGGAAAAAGATCAATGTATGAATATTGGTAGTCACAATATGAGGATTATATACAAAATGGACAAAACCCTTGTACGTATTAGTGAGGTTATTATTTTCATATTATTATTGTATAATGTATAGTCTTGTAGTATGTGGTTAGTATTAGTTAGTCAAGACTACTTCTACTTATCAGGGTTAGTTAGAGTTTTAGTTGTGATATACTGTGTAATCTTTATCTTGTTTCAATTGAATCGAAAATCATTCTCTAATCGTACGCACGTACAAAGCACAAAAAATTTTAAACATTAAAATAACATCGTTTTGAACCGTGATTCACATAACTATTTGAACCACGATCTTTATAATAATTTGTCGAGATTCAACCTTTTGAAAAGAAAAATTACATTTTGTTTATCATAGTCTCTTTGATGGGCTTGAAAATTTATCCAATCCACATGTTGTGTCCTAGGCCCATTGGGCCATTTGGTATTATCCTACAAAATGGGCAAATTATGTTGTGCATCACGGATGCATCATGTATGATGGACACAGATGCAAAAACGACGTCATTTTGATTAAAAACGCGCGTTCTATTTAAAAAAAAAAAATCAGTTTCGATTCCCAGCAATAGCATTATGTTGTTCATTCATTTTAGATTTTTAGTTCATTCATTCTGGATTTTTAGTTATGAAATTATAGATGTGTAGTTATGCAATTCTGGATTTATAGTTATGAAGTTATGGATGTGTAACTATGCATGGTGTAGTTATGCAATTTTGGATTTATAGTTATGAAGTTATGGATGTATAGTTATGCAATTCTGGATGTATAGTTATGAAGTTATAGTCTTATGGATGTGTAGTTATACAATTCTGGATTTATAGTTATGAAGTTATGGATGTGTAGTTATGCAATTCTGGATGTATAGTTATGAAGTTATAGATGTGTATATTGTAGTTATGCATGCAGTTCTGAATTTATAGTTATGAAGTTATGGATGTATAGTTACGCAATTCTGAATGTATAGTTATGAAGTTATGAATGTATAATTATGTAACTCTGCATGTATAATTATGAAGTGATAATTTTTTTTAAAGTCGACGTCGTTTTTGCATCTGTGTGCACCATGCATAGTGCACACGGATGCATAGCATAACGCTCCTACAAAATGAATTTGATATAAGGTATTATAAATAAGAATTTGTTTAGGTTATAACGAGTGATTCAATTTCAAACTCAAGGAGATGGACTTGAGAATGAAGGTTATATTTTTATTTATTTTTGTTTTTCCGTTATGTTATATATATATATATATATATATATATATATATATATATATATTATTTTATAAGAGTTGTACTATATAATATTTTGAACAAACATATCCCCACAATTATAACTAACTTTCGTTATCTTTTTCACTATTGTTATTATACATATGCATCCACCATATATTTATGTATCTTCTTTAATAATAATAAAAATATATCCACATTAGATATTAAAGTTATATGTTAGTAATTTTCTAAAATATAAATTTGAAATTTATAAAAATATTTTACATTATTATTATTATTATTATTAGGAAAAATTGCACTTTTCATCCCAAAGTTATAGGGTAATTGTAGCGTTCGTCCCTAAGTGTTGGTCATGCTCACTTTTTGTCCCTAAGTTATCATTGGCGTTGCACTTTTCGGCCCTGAGTTATAAGGTAATTGTAGGATTCGTCCCTAAGTGTTGGTCATGTTCACTTTCCGTCCCTAAGTTATCATTGACGTTGCACTTTTCGTCCCTGAGTTATACTAAAATTGCAAATTTTGCCCATAATTACTACTACATAAATGGTATAATACGTCACTTTTTAAATAACCGTTGTGTAATATATTGTGTTCTACACTTATACTACGTCACTTAATAGACGACGGTTGTTTAAATAACTACCTATATAGTTGACATACACGGTAGTTTTTTAACCACTGTATATAGTTAATATACACGACGATTTCCAAAACCATTGTAGAAAGTGTATATTTACAACGGCAGTCACTTACACGCGCGACACTTCGAAAACTGTCGTGTATGTGTAAAAAAACCGCCAGTGGTTATTTAAAGTGTATGACGTAAAAAAAAAATTAATTAAGTTATATACGGCGATTATTTAAAAACCCGTTGTCTATTAAATGACGTAGTATAACAAAATATATAAGATGGTGGTTATTTAAAAAACATCCGTCTATTAAGTGACGTAGTATACCATTTATGTAGTAGTGATTAGGGACGAAAATTGCAATTTTAGTATAACTCAGGGACGAAAAGTGCAACGCAAATGATAACTTAGGGACGCAAAGTGAGCATAAACAACACTCGGGGACAAATTCTACAATTACTCTATAACTCAGGGACGAAAAGTGCAACACCAATGATAATTTAGGGACGAAAATTGAGCATGACCAACACTCAGGGACGAATTCTACAATTACCATATAACTTAGGGACGAAAAATGCAATTTTCCCTTATTATTATTATATTGAATATTTATTTTTTATTTTTATAGAAAATGCTAGTAAATCTATAAATAAATAAATCTATAATAAAAGTGAAATAGTTGGTAGCAGGCCGGGAGCTGCATTGACCGTTAATTCAGGTAAACGTAGTTCAGCCAAGCAAATCCTGACACAAAAAATAAAAATAAAAATAAAAAGTGGAATTCACAGCACCACCCAATTGTTTTGAAACCTTTGGCGGACAAGAATTGATTAGTGAACGCATCATATCGATCATATATCATATATGCCGGTACAGCAAATTAAAGAAAGTGAAAAGAGGGCAGATTGACCAGAGAGAGGTCATGATCTGGGGTTCATCAGATCATGATCTTGATCTGTCTCATTCTGAATATCCCTCAAACGCAGCAGCAGCCTCAGCCTCAGTCTCATCATCATCAATGGAGTCCATATCCTTCAGATGTTTCATCGAACAAAATCTGGGCAGATCTGCACTCTTCCTTATATATTCTGTTCTTGAATTTGTGATGATCGTTTTGCTTTTGGTTGATGGCTTCTTGGCCTTCTTTTCCTATGAATTCGCAAAGTTTTTCGAATTGAAAATGCCTTGCTTCTTTTGCACTAGAATAGATCAGGCTTTGGTCCACAGGAACTTGAATTTCTATTACAATGATACCATCTGCGAGTCCCACAAAAGGGACATTTCCTCCCTTTCCTATTGCCATGTCCACAAGAAAATTTCTGACATCAAAACCATGTGCGAGAACTGCCTTCTCTCCTTTGCACCCGACAAGGATTCCTCCGATTACTATGCCGCCGACGATGTTAAATCCGTCAATGTTTTCGCCGACAAGCCCAATTTTCAGAGGTGTTCTTGCTGTATGGAGTTTCTCGGCGGGAAGGGAAAGTACACCCGGAGCATGTCACAGGTGGCGCCGCCTCCCTCCCCGAGGGCCTGGAGAAACAATGAAACCGACCATCCGGATGATAATGAAAATGCCACTAATGGAGGTACGTACATACGTATACTTATATATATTATTTAATTTATATTATATGTTTGTATTAATAATCAATTCAATTGCATCGATCCAATATATACGTACAGACGGCAGGGATGATAATAGATCCCTGGCAGTATCCGAGGAGGAGGAGGAGGAGGGGCTAGAAGATTCTTCATGCAAGACGCCTTGTAATAGAGGAGGAAACAATAAGTTTGTTGGAATCCCATTGTCAGATAGTCCTAGGATGTCCACCAAAAAGACCAGAACCATGTCAATTGATTATTCAGCACTCTCAAGATCAGATCCTAACAACTACGATCTCGTAACCACCACCGGTTTCAACGAAGGCAACGGATCTGCAGGCATCATTCAGCACTTGAAGAGGCAGGTTCTTCTGGAACGCAAGTCTCTGGTGTCTGTGTGTATGGAATTGGACGAAGAGAGGAATGCTTCCGCCATTGCCGCCAACAATGCAATGGCAATGATTACACGGCTGCAGGCTGAGAAGGCTTCCAAGCACATGCAGGCGTCGCAGTACCAGAGAATGATGGAAGAGCAGGCGGAGTATGACAGGGAAGAAAAGCAGATATTGAAGGACATGATTTTGAAGAGAGAGGAGGAAATTGAGGCTTTGGAATCTGATCTGGACGTATATAGAGATAAGTTTGGACCTATAAACTTGGCATGCAGTGAATTCTTCGAGATTGAAGGCGACGATGAATTTCACTCCCTCAAATTCCAATCCTTATCATCCTTTGGTGAAATGTCGTGCCGGAGTCTTACCGATGTACTAGATCATCATGAAGTGTATTTAGATTCTGACAATGATAGATCCCACCATTCGGCCTTGCTGAGAACCATTCCTGAAACCACCAGCGCCACACCTGCAGTACAACTACCTGAAAAAGTTTGTCTGGGAGACCATCCCCAGGATGATGATGATGATGATGATGAATCTCCTCCATCACCTGCTGCAGAACTAAAAGTTTGTCAGGGAGACCCTGAATCTCCTCCATCACCTGTAGAACTACCTGAAAAAGTTTGTCAGGAAGACGATGAAAGTGCGTGCAGTACTGGTACTTACTTCTTCTTGATCCAACTAACTATAAATATATATTTCTATTTCATTATATTATTCCCTTTAATTTTATTTTAATTTCTTCCTCATCTTCAGCTCATTGCTAATTCGATCTTCTGTACATACGTACGTGATGGTTTTGTTTTTGTTCAAATCTTGATTTACTAGTAGGAACTCAGAATAATGTTTTCCTGACAAGAGAAAGCAATTCGTCAATGAAAGAGAGGGAGGAGACAGATGAAGAAGAAGAAGAGAGCTAGTGATGATTATTATATATATATGATGAAGGAAGCTAGCTAGCTAAGATGAGTGGGTGCGTGGCTTCTGATGTACTAAATGCATGCATGCGCACTGCTACGACATTATATTACAGATCGGATCAGATGAGAAGAGGAATTGATGATCGAATTGAATTGAATGAAGCGATAATGGAGCTAATGAATTAAAAGCTTGAGTCTGTGAAACGTACTAGCTTAGCATGCAGTCTACATGATGATTTTCCGACAGATCCCTGGCCTTTTTTGATCGAGGAGATTCCTTTCATAATCTCTCTCTGCAAGGCAATTAAGGGATCGGAGCAAATTATTAAATTAGGTATGTAGGCAGTAGACTGTATGTAGATTGAGCTGCTAGACTGCACCAAAAATTTTGCAAAAATCTAATATATCTCACATTTCTTAGATAACTAACCATGCCTACTCCATCTACTATACGCTTATGCATGCATATATGCTATCTAACATAACCATTATATTCTTTCAACATTTAACTTAATTTATTTGGTTGCCCATCACATTTCTTATCTTTCTTCTTATCACTCCGATCCATCACAAGAAAATTATAGTTTGACAAGATCTAATTTAAATCTAACAAACAGCTTAACTAATCCAAAGTGATCGGTATACAAATTAATTAATTCAAAAAAAAAAAAAATGCTACTCGCCTACTTGTGTCGTCCATTTTTGCATCTATCCAACAACTAACACCTCTAAAAAAAAATTGGAAACTCATCCTTAAAAAATTCGTATCTTCATTTATTTGCCTATCTAGAACCTCCTGGCCTGATTTTGTCAATGCATGCTATGAAACATAATCCAAGCAATAAGATGAAATCATGGCCGGTAGCATGCATATATATATATATATATATATATATATATATATATATATATATATAGATTTCAGTCACATCTTCCCTTTCTGCAATAACCAACTTCAATTCTTTATCCTGACACAAAATAATGTTCGATACTTATATAAATTATTATAGACGCTTACATGCATGCATCTTACATTATATTATTGATGGTATAAGTGTGTCAATCCAACCATCACTATTGGAAATTATTGAATTTTCAACCACCTGAATTAAGTCGAAAGCAACAAGGATTTTTTCGGATACCAAAAGTGGTCGAAACAAGACTTTCAACTTGATTTAAGATCACTTTCAGGTGGTCGGAAATTTCAGAATTTCCAATAGTGAATAACAATAATGCCTGAAAGATGGATTTGAGGCTCATTCCAAGAGGTTAGTTGTTGAACCTATATATTGTTGCAGTTAAAATAGCCATTAGAGCATTATCTATTCTTATATTCTACCATTCATTATTTCACAATGCCTCGATGATGTACATGTAAAGATTTTGAAGGCACTGTACTCATCATGGATATATACTTTTCCGGTAGTAGACTTTAGGCTTTAGGTTTTTGGCTTTAGATTTTAGTCTTTCAATATGCAATATTTGAGAGAAGAGACAAGGTTCATGTGGAGATTATGCCCTTTAATTATGTGCATCCACATTTGACCACGTCTGTCGAGTCATTAAATCACATCATCTCAAAGTCTTTGAAAAAAGAGACGAGTTTGGTGGTAATATTTCCAACCATTTCCCATGCATATTGCTTTTAATTCTTCAATTTTTAAAATTTTATTGTAACAAATTTCACGTTGAGCTGTCTTTTTCTAATTTTTGATTTCTATTTAAATAAACTTTTGTATCTAGAAATTTCATTATTTTTTTTAATTCTGCCATTATTTATCTTTATTTCACCATCCATTACATTATGAATTTACGGAAGAAAGGAACTGTTGGATTCAATCTCTAAATTCTTGAAACATTATTTCACCAAATGAGCTCTCATCACAAACTACCTGCAGACACATTCAAAATTAGAATGCAGTTCTTTTGGTTTGACATAGTTTTAAAAGCCTCTCTATTTTCATGTACCTAGCTATATATACCCATATCACAATCTCATGGTGAGATAGATCGATATATTATTAAGTACTGGTCGACCATATATTATATTCAAGATTGGACGTCTGACTTTTTCTAGACATAGGAAAGCCTACATTATGATTATATATTTAAGATTATTGTTAAATCAATAATGGAATTGATTATTAAGAGAAAAATTGAATTTTACGTATGGGATTATATTGATCAAGAAATCAATTTCTTATTATTTAGGGGTGGACAAAACTGGATAATTCCAATATATAACTGCAATCAACTTAATTAATTGAAGGATCATCGGAGGATATGATATTAAATGAACACGATGATGAATTGGGCCGAATTCGATCATTATATTATATCCCAAAAAAACGCCTACGATGGCTTATATTAATTAGTTTTAACTAGCTACGTACTATAGTCTATAGGTATGAATGATATGATTAATTAGGTAGCTAGCATTTCCGTCCGGGGGTGCAACGACCAAGATGACCCGAATATCTGGCGAGCCTACCAACTTCTTTCCCAGATAGTGGCCTGAGATTGTCACGGTAGCCGTACTTTTCCACCCCTTTGGGATCTCCGGATGGTGTAAAGAAAGCGCCGTTCATGAAGACATCGCCGGAAGACACCCACGTCCATTTCTTCCATGAATCGTCGGGGCAATCCCTGTGGGTCACCTCCTTAAAGAAGTTCTCCCCCGGCTGCGCAATGTAGCGGTTGCCCTGGCTGATGATGGTGGCGCCGGAGGACCCACCCACCGCGTACATTTCCCAGTGAGTGTAGTCGTTGTTGACTATGTGGAAAAGTCCCCACCGGCAACGTGGCATCCTCTGGTGGAGCCTCTTCCCGAAGTGGTTGAATGCCAAGGTGATTTGCATCCTCTTGTCGATGGAGTCCTCGTTGTTGGCTCCGAAGAGCAGAACCTTGTCGTGGTCGGTGAAGTGGCAGTTAGAAACAGTGACGGCGGTGGCGCCGGCCGCAGCGTCGATCAGTCCGTCTTCGCAGTTGTGCATGGAGACGTGGTCGATCCATACATGGTGGGACCCGAAGATGGTGATTCCATCGCCCTCGTCATGAGTCCTCATACCTTTGTGATCAACGCAGTCTCTGATGATGCCGCCGGGAGAAGATTTAATGTCCCCGACTTTAATGTTGTGGATAATGACGTTGTTTACGGACTGGAGCGTCATACCTGCTCCGCCCGCGATATTCACAAACGCCCCGCGCCCGTCGATTGTCTTGTTGCCTTGCACCAGAAGCTCCCCGGACAGCTTGATGGTCATGCTCGCAGCGAACACGATCCACAACGGCTCCTTCTGAATCACCGCATGCCGAAGAGTTCCCGCCTTCGGCTCCTGCACGTCGTCGTCGGATGCATCTTTAACCACGTAGATTCTGCCGCCCTTTCCGCCGGTAGTCCCTTTGGCAAAACCCAGGGCGCAGTCGGCTAACCTGAAACGATTCGGGCCATCACTCCAGTCCGCCCGGCATCTCCAGCACTGATCAATAGGGTTCGTCGCCCTGCACGGCTCCTTGCTTCCCTTCTTACGCCGCAGCTCTCTTCTCGTCACATTATCATTATTATTATTATTGCTGTCGTCGTACAATTCTCTGTTGTTGTACGTCTCATTCAAACCTATGCTAACTCTTTCATTTAATTCTGTTGTAATTTTTTCAGGATTGGGGTGATAGGCTTGGAGAAGACCTCTCCTGGCCTCCGCCTCGCGCTGCTTCCACACGTCATCACTGACATCCGCTGTCGTTGCCGGGATCACGGCGGCGATTGACAACAACGCCAAGTAAACCCACCAAAGTATCTTGGTAGAGGCCGCCATTATATATTTATATATTGGGGGTTTATTATATTAGTAATTAGTAATGATGAAGAGGATGGTCTAGGATTATTATTGTAGCCCGAGCTTTCCTAGACCAACCAAAACGCAAGAACAGGGAAAAACAAAACCCAAACTCTTTACAGATTTTTAGCTGTTAAGGTTGGGTTGGTTTCATCCAATTCTGTTGCCTTTCCTTTCCAAACTTTGGCTTCTTAAATACTGAGATTGTAACCAAACAAATGGTGAGCAAAGTATGGACAGCCATCAGCCATGTAACAAATTTATAAAATTAAAAGTCCTGCCTAGTTAAACGCACAATTTCAAGGGTGAAATACATGAAGTAAAATTATTTGAGCATCCTTATTAGTAGGAATTTTTTTTAATAATTCTTTGCATGTCAAATAAAATTTAGGAGATCATAGAGTAGAGAAAAAAAAAAAAAAAAAAAAAAAGAGAAATTGTATTATTCACGCACCTAGCTGTCTGCGCGCTCACTAGGCGCACTTGGCGTGTTTCAAGCGCACCAAGAAGTTAATTTTTAATGTTTTCTCTTTCCTCTTTGGTTTCACAAAAAATTTTAATTTGTGCAAGTTAAATTTTCTCTCGGCCTTCTTCACCTCACAATCTCTCCTCCAACTTGGCAAAAAAAATAAACAACGCACCTTAAGAATGAAATTCACGCACCTAAAGCTGGTTTAGACCGACACACTTTAAGAAAGAAAACAACGCACTTTAAGAAGGAAAACAACACATCTTAAGAAGGAAAACTGCACGCACCTAAAGCTTTAGACCGACGCACTTAAGTTTCAACAACTGACGCACCTTAATTAAGCACACAACACAAAAACCACGCACCTTAAGCACAAAAAGAAAAAAAAAAAAACGCACCTTAAGAAAGAAAACCACGCATTTTAAATTGGAATAAGGGTCAAATAGGCCATTGAACTGCACACAAAAATGCAATTAGGCCACTGAACCTAAAAAACCTACAATTAGATCCCTAAACTAACCAATTTCATTCAATTTGTCTATTTTTCAAGTTTCTCAAGTTACTAACAGGTTAATCCTCAACCTAGAATGCATATGTGGCATTTTTTTTAAATAATGTATTTTTAAATTAGTTTTTTAATATTTAATAAATAAAAACTAAAATAATTTATTTTTAAATTATTTTTTTAATGTTTAATAAATTAAAACTAAAATAATTTGTTTTTTTTTTTTATAAATAAAATATCGTACAGGGGCTTAGATTTTATTTTCAAAAAAAAAATGTTATTGTAGTTTTTATTTATTAAGCATTAAAAAACTAATTTAAAAATAAATTATTTTAGTTTTTATTTATTAAATATTAAAAAATTAATTTAAAATTTTTGTTTTTTAAATACCACATATGCATCTTAGGTGGAGGGGTAACCTGTTAGCAACTTGAGAAACCTGAAAATGGACAAATTGAATGAAATTGGTTAGTTTAGGGACCCAATTGTAGTTTTTTTTAGGTTCAGTGACCTAATTGCATTCTCGTGTGCAGTTCAGTGGCATATTTGACCCTTATTCCTTTTAAATTTGATCTAGATGCAAAAAGACCAAATTACCATTGTATTTTTTTTAATCGTTGTTAATCTTGAATGTTGATCTTGGCAAAATCAATGACTCTCATCTCATCCCACGTTCGCAAGCACACCATACTCATGTTAAAGTATCTATAAGCATTATTTTTTGTATCCAGCATCCACATCACAAGTATATACAAATTAAGATCATAAGTATATATTTGAATTAAATAATTAAATGGTATGTAGATGATTAAGTATAATAGTATAAAATTATAATTAATAAATCTAGCTGTTGAGGAGAAAAAAGAAAACAAAGTGGTTTCAATCATCAAAAAGTGCATGCTTTTGAAATGAAAGAAAATTGGATTGCTTGCTAGCTTTTGTTCTTATCTCTTGGATCTCATCTCATCACGTACGCTACAAGGAATCAAAATACAAAGAGAATTATATTAGAGAAGTCGTCAAGTATGCCCCGTCGGACCCAACACGTTACAGAAAACGCAATTCTCTGTTTGACTGTTTTTATTTATTTATTTATTTATTATGAAATAAGTATATTAATTAATAAGAAAAGAGTGGTATGAAACAAAGACAAAATGAATGACATTATAAGGCTCATGGAACTCGAAATTGCATTTTTGGAGGGTTTTCTAGAAAAATTTCATCTATTAGTAAGGACTGGTTTTATAGGTGGTACGAGAGCTAAATTTTTGTAGTGTCTTTTTACTTATTCTATTTTTATTTTTATTTTCTCTGTATTTTCTAAATTATATTAGACTACTAATCCGAAGTTTTATTTCAACAACACACCTATCAAATCTTGACCATATCAGATCATAACTATATTTGTTATCCGTGTTTGAAATTATTAACCTCAATTTTTTGATATTTTCATCCAAATGCAAGCCCTGTACACACGTATTGTCTTTTAGGACACAAAGTTTTCAGAAATTCAAAGAATGTAGGCCAATATATGATATAATATTGAGAATTTAATTTTTATAACATGGTAATAAAATATAGTGTTGCAGTTTAAAAATAGTAGCGATATTCAACCAAATTAATAATTAATGTGGAAAAAAAAATCTTCATTTATTTTTTTTTTCAAATACAATGATGCTACATCTTATCCTACAATATTATAGTATTAGTTGTTTGTATTGTCCGCAATTTTTTATTTTATATTTAAACATAGGATTCTATGTATTTGTCAAACACACAATGAAAAATCATAGAGGGCCATTCTTAAATGCTAATCCGGCGACATCCTTAGCCATACAAATGAAATGTGACAAGAAATTATAGTCTCGGCCACTTACTGAATGAGACAATTCATAATTATCCAAAAATAAAAAGATAAAAAGTTATTGGCAGTTGGAAAAGATTTGTGTGCCACGTAGTTTCGTGATTTCTCCGTCTACAATTTATCTGTTATACATCTTCAATAATATGAGCGGGTTCAATTCTACTCATCATCCAAAATAAATAAATGATATATATATATATATATATATATATATATATATATATATATATATATATATATATATATATATATATAGAGAGAGAGAGAGAGAGAGAGAGGGGGGGATGCACTCAGGTGCGAGTAAGTGCCCAAGAAGGAATATGCGAACGAATCAGCACGCGACACGTGTCCAGATCTAATAGCTTAAAAAAAACGCGGCGGCATTTTCATAAATAATTGAACATCAAAGTGCAAGTAAAATCACTTACAAGTGCACCTACTTTCACCTATAAGTGCATGTAATTTTGCCTTGTTAGCATTCTCTTCCCGCAAACATTCATGCACCTGGGTGTGCTTATAACTATAGGTGCAACTATTTATAACTATAGGTGCAACTATTTATAACTATAGGTGCAACTACTTATAACTATAGGTGCACCTACTTTCACTTATAAGTGCATGTAATTTTGTCTTGTTAACATTCATTGATCTGAGTTCAGCGGGTAGAAATACCCCTGAAAACCACTCGCAAACATTAACTACTTATAACTATCTGTGCAACTACTTAGAACTATAGCTGCAACTACTTATAACTATAGGTGCACTTAGTATTGATGCTCAGTGTAAATTTTTTACTTGTACATATAATACATTTTACATGCACTTGTAATACATTTTACTTGCACTTCGATGTTCAATTATTTACGAAAATGCCACCGCGTTTTTTAAAAAAATCAGTATTTCTCATCCATTAGATCTGGACACGTGGACGGACAAAATCCATTCCTATTTCGCTCCTAGGTGCAATTCTATATATATATATATATATATATATATATATATATATATATATATATAACCAATTACTAGCAAATAAATTACCTCTACATTTAAACTCAAAGGCTAGTGGTTAAATAAATAATAATAACACACACACATAAAATAAACTTACAACGTCGGTTCCCGTAAAAATCGACACCGTAGGTTTTTTAAAACAAAATATTTAATGTTGATTTCTAATAAAATTAACGTTGAATATAAAATTTTTAGAATTATTTTATTTATCTTTTACGTCAATTTATCGAAAGTCGATGTAAATTGGATGACGTAATATTCCCATTTTGTAGCAGTGACTCTGATATCTTTACCTGCGATTTGGTTTCACTGTGTATTAATTATCTACGTTCTTATGTCGACAAATACTTGTAGCTAAGAAAGTGGGGGGCTTATGATGAAATAATATTTCATTATTATCAATAATATAATAATCAAAGATGAGAAGATAAATCTAGGGAGTTGTTACAATGACCCATTCGATCGAATATGGAATCCCTTATATAAAGGAGCTTGGGAATCAAACAATGGAGATTGAGAGCAACTTTTTTTCACGTACAATATTTCTTCCTCATTTTTACTCTATGATCATGATTGCTTCTGTATACATACACGTACTATACATACGTATAGTTGATTCTGGTTTGGTTTAGCCTAAAAAGGTTTGCCCTGTATGCAAAGCTTTGGTGCCTCGCATACAATTTATTGTGCTCCGGATTACACTCGTCACTAAGGATACACCCCAAGTGTATTATCGTTACGAGTTATTTGGTCTCACGCATGGATATTGAGCGGCTTTTGTTGGTCTAGACTCTAGATGTATACTCTCCCTCGTTGTCGACTTTTCGCAACTCGGAGAATAGGGGGCTAATGATAGAGATATTAGAACCAATTCAAGATAAATAGAAGATTCAGGCCCAATGAAAAAGACCCAGGGGCCAAGACAAGGGACTCGGATGAGGCTACTCGAGTCAGGTAAATGGTTGGACCCGATGATTCGCTTTGAACAAGTATAGTGGTATTCGAAATAAACAAAAACTAAAGTTTATTTTTTTATCGTCCTCAGGGTTTGGGGGTTTGGTTAGCCAAAGAAGATCTAGGCACAAGCTCTAAACAATTTATGGAAGCTAAGCAAGTAATAACAAGAGTGAGGTAGGTTAGTCAAATATAGGAATAAAAATAATGATAAAAGACTAGGAATTGAAACGGGTGTTATTGGTTTGATGACATGGATCAAGGGATTAAGGGCTAGAAACTTCACCATCAGGTTCAAGACTACTAACTTCAAATTGGTTGACTAACACGTCACTCTTGAGATCTAATGTTAGACCAATTTGGTAAACAAAGGCAGTGCCACTCTTAGCTTGTGAAGCTACCAATCCTCCTCAATAAGCACAAGTAGTCTGGACATTCAACACTCTCTACTCTCGTAAGTGAGCTTGAAGGTCGCGAGATGTGGTCTTAGGAATAATGACGGTTGAGGGACGACTCTAGGGGTGTGATAACCCATTGACTCTTTCCCATTTCACTTGCCAAAATTTCATACTAGACAAGTGTTGATAAGGTAGTGCACAAACCCATCAATACTAACACAAAAAAACATCTTGCTACTCACTAGAACAAGAACCCTATGTTGGGTTTCAATCCTTGGATGAAATAAATATCAAGGATGCACCATACCACAATAAACACCACTATCCAACAAGACAAAGTAAATAAACACAATAATAATTCAAAATATGCAACAGTAACAAAGTTAGAACAAATGAATAACTAAAGAAGATAGAAAATACCCTAAACTGCTACAGTGCTTTATGACGACTCTCTTGCCTCTATTTGTTAAAAGGAGAAAAAGATCTATTTATAGTAACATCCTAGGGTTTCGGTCCACGAGCACCGCACTAGCATGCCACTACTTGTGTAGGTGCACCGGCATGGCACGGGCACTTTATGCTAGTGCGGAAGACAAGCTAAGGCACGCCCTTGTGTTATGCACGGGCGACTCACAGGGGTGCTACTGCCTGTGCATGGTCTTGTCTTCATGCAGCGTCCTTCCTAGATCCGGTCATTTGCGCGTCTTTCCTACGGTTTTGCTTCCATGCTCATTTTTAATGCATTTTAGCTCCAAAGTGATCAACTTTTACTTCCTTTTTCAATTTCCTTCCTCTAAAGTGTATTTGAGTAAAACATTCTTTTTAGTTCAAAAATTCAAATAAACGTACACTTCAAAATAAATGTTAAAAGAAATAAGAATGGAGTTAAAATATGATACAAAATAAGAGTCATCACCCGAGAACAGGGCCCCACCTCCATGTTCGACTATGGGTGATTGTCGTTTTGCCTCGGAGCCATCTCCCGAGCTGAGGCGATCGGATTTGACCCAACCCCGTGGCCCACCATGAAATTAGCTAAATTGGTTGAATTTATCGATCTTGTATAAAGTGTCAGACACCGTGACTAATCCCTCGCGGAATTATAGGCACCTCTATTAGGTGAGACAACTAGTCTGAAAATTTAAAGTTACTCCATATTCAAAACCAAAGATTGAACCCTTAATGCTTTGTTAAGGATAGATGAATTATCCCTTCCACTCAACTACACACTCATTAATTAGTTCCATCAATATATAACATCAATGTATTTTGATACTACAAAGTTTTTTGAAACACGCTAGATATATGCTTAAATAATGAACACTTTTTGTATACATTAATTCTATATTTTGTCTTCAATTTCTATGCTTTATTTACAATTTAATTAGTTGAACTCTCTCCCTCAAGGAAATAGTGCAGGGATGAATGGGGCCGAGTTTTCACATGACAGAGCAGGCGTTTGGATCTTCGTCGCTAAACATATTGGGCGAGGGTGCGTGTACATATGTCGGTGGAGGAGTTGGTGGCACATGCATATACGGCGGTGGCGCGTGTGCATATGGGTATGAGTACCCCATGGCGTAGCCAGTGTGAGAAGAACTTGGATCAGACGTTGCCAAGCCATAATCTTGATTGTAATAACTTTGGTTGTACATTGGTCTGGCATAAAATGTATTTGATTGGTACCCATGATACTCCATCTTGTTTGCTTCCACTTTATTAGACTCACTACCGCCTTCTTTTTCTTTCTTCTCTCCATCGTCGACGACTTTCTTCTTTTCACCACCTCCACCGTCCTTTTTAGAAGGAACAATCTCCACGCCCCGCTTCAATTTTTCTCTTAGGTAGGCTGTTAATTCTTTTACATCCATGGTTCCTTTGACGGTGACCAAATCTTTTGCCAAATCCACATCCACGTCTTTTACACCTGAAAGTTAAAATTTAAATTAAATCATAATCAAATTAATTAACACAATATTGAATGTGATTGACCTACTATTAAAATTAATTAATCAAGTACTGTAATTGATATAAAACAATTGGTCAAACAAATTAATTTATGCATTGATTTGGTCATCTAATTACCATTAATCTTCCTTATGACTCGTTTTACTTTATCTGCACATCCATCGCAATGCAACCGCAGCGTCAACACAACAGTGCTCACTTGAGGCTGAATTGAACAACAAGACAGCAACCAAACCAAACCAAACGTTAGTTACCAACTCGTACGAATTCAAGATCACCACAACATTAAATTAAATATTATAATTAGTTGTGACATGTTAATCATATAATAGATTATCTTAACTGGTCATAATAATCTATCGATTTCAAAAAGTCAAATTTGATAAACTTAACATCAAATTAATTGTGGGTCGCATTTATCTATATATGGTATTTAATTAATTACCTCTTTGGGGTTGTTTTCAGTTTCGTCCTTTTTAGCGGATTTGTCATCGGACTTTTTGTCGGCGCCGGCAGCACCTCCCCCGCCGTCCTTCTTGGGCTGAGGAGAAAGAATCTCCACCTTTTTCTTGATCTTGGTTGCAAGTATGTCACGGAGCCATGCTGGGTCAACGTTCCCTTTCACGGTCAATTTCCCACTTTCCCAATCGGTCTTTACGTCTTCCACACCTTCAATTCATTCACACACAGTTAATTAGCCCAAATAACACTTCCAATTTATTATTAAAGATGATCTTAAGGCCGGCTAAGTAGTAGATGAACAAATATTACCGTCAAAATGCCGAATAGAACGTCTGACTTTCTTGGCACAGCCTTCACAATGCAAATCGGCCTTTAAAACGACGGCGGTTGGCTTCTCCTCCTTCTTAGCGGCGTCGCCGCCGCCGCCCTTTTTCTCCCCACCTTCCTTCTTCGGTTCTTCTTTCTGAAAAAAAAAAAAAACATGATGAATCTAGCTTTGAGCATTGAGCGTCGTATATATGAGGAAATACAATTGCAGATCAGAGATTGATATGAATATGATGGTGAATAAGAATTACCTGACCCATGGCCGGAAACGTTTAAGAGCTGAGAGAAATCTAATTAAACTGCAGGTTGGTAATGTCTAATATGAATGCTTGCACGGAGTGGGCAGAAAATTGTTACGATGTGGAATATATAGATGAGAGAAAAGTAATAAAAATTTTGTAACACGCCTGTCTTGTCTATGAGGTCATCATCTTTGTGTAGTGTGTGTTGTCTTGTGTTTCGACGTCTTCTCCCACGCCCACTGCAATTATTAAGGGCAAACCTGTTTTAGGAAGCGTGTTTCCACCATTATTAATTATCCTTTGTTTTTACTATGTATCATGTATGTATATGTATGGATGTGTATATAATGTTGCCATAATTAGCCGGGTACCTTGTACTAACCGCTGGCTGCTTCAGAAATTCTTTAATTAATTAAACTCTTAACCTTGCAATAACTTTTGAAATTCAAAGAAAAATATCAAATTTACTCCATACTTCTCGTCACAATATGGCAGCTTGGCAATACGCAATAGGAATTGAAGAAAACAAATTAAAAACCATTAGCAATAATTGATTTAATTGAATAGCTTATAATATATAGATCAGAAACTAGACAATTGAATAATATTTTGTCATAATTTAAATAGAATTTAATTGGTCAATTGACATTTAGCAATAAATTATGATAAGATAATTACCATAATTAATAAGGCAATTAATAGTTTAGTAAAGGTGGCAATAACCATAACGTTAACTATTAAGATAATTAATATTCTATATTTTAGAAAACAAGATACAAGTATTACAAGTTTCACCTGTAAAATTATATTAAACGCTCTCAATTAAAATTTATTCTAAAATATTTGAATTCCCTAATTGAGATTAGAGCGGTACATCTAATTAAGCAGGAAATAAAGATGTGGATTAAAATATTGAACAAATGCAGTACAGTACATCTCCAAAGTCCAATGCACCCTGACCTTATATTATGTTGTACTAAAATGATAAGTACGCTACTAAATGTACAATAGTACATCATGCGTATCCTAGCCAGCTAGCAACCCTTGTTCTGTTACAACCTCCATGCAACAGATGAACAATTCAACTTTTCAAAGTGCATAACACATTTGTTAACAAAATGCGAACCAATCACAACGAATTTAGGTAAATTTGATGTATCAACTATTGATTTCACCTAGAAATGAATTAATTATGTAATATATTATGATTTGGTAGCTAAAAGAATTATAAAAATTAATTATTAATCTCATTTTTAATTAAAAAGTTCATATATACATATAATTGAACAAAAGGGGACCGTATAGTAGCAGTATGCCAATGCATAGTTCAGTGATCTCTTGCGCACCAAGAAATTGATGATAGGTATAGCCATGTGTTGTATTGACTGCCATCCACTTTATGTTGTCTACACTCTACACTATAAATTACAATAATATTTTGCAGTGAATTGAAAGGCTTTAATTTTTGTTCACGTGATGGATGCCATGAAATCCTAACATACATTATATTACATAATATTCTAGTTGGGGAACAATCACCTAACGTAGGCAGTGACACAAAACTAACAAAACTTTAAAAATTATAATGAGGATCGGATTGCAGCCTTGAAAAACAAGTAAAGGAATTTGATATATTATTCAACATCTTCTGAACTCCCCGGTGCATGTGAAATTTATCATCACCAATGTTATATATTCAAAGTGTAGATTTTAAATATCTCACAGTTTAAGTGAAACTCGTATTTACTAGGACAATAGTAAGAATCGAATCCGTGACCTTTTGGTACAAAAATAATGTTTCACGCATACAATCATATCTTTAACTTTTTGTTTTTATTTTTTTTTTTTTTACGTCGGATGGAGGGAGACACACGAAAATAGCCCTAAACATGCTCTATATTACCCCTCCACTCTCTGGCCTATTTAATTCACCTAATAATGGATTAAATATATCCATGGAGCTAACGGCATTATGAATCGTATTTCAGCTAGCGTACATACATTATTTCTCCAATGCTATCCTCTACGGGGTTAGCAGCAGGATAAAAAAGCCAAGTAAGGAAAGATGGTTGCAACTTCGGCCACATGCCAGTGGTCCATTCGATACGTTTGACTTTTGCGTCATTTCTGGTAGGTACCCAGCACGGAAAATTAAGGTCAGGTCTCAGGAAGGACTAAGGACACGAGAGAAGAAGTTTCTAGTCATTCAATGATGTTTTGGCAAGAAAAATATGTAACGGATCCAAGAAACTTCGTAATATTCTATGATTAACTTTTTGAGATTATATGCAATCATATCCAAAAGGAAAATCAGTCCAAGGGCTCCATTTTATGAACATGAAAACAAAATTAAAGTTCATAACTGAAATTGGTAAGATCAGATCATCTCATCTTAATCGATCTTAATTGAAAAAAAATGATTCTTTTAGTGCTTTCGTGGTTGTGGCATCTTCAATTCATTCACTCATCTGTTACTTTAATCAATTATCAATACGAAAATCTTCGTCGCTTACATATATACAAGATGAGATTTTTACTCCGACAAGTGATAGACTTTTGTGAGGGACGCAGGCGCCCAGCCGGACGCATTACTGCTTACTTTTTTTTTTTTTTAATTCCGTGTCAGATTATCGACAGTAGTGCTGATGACATCGGCGGCTGGGCAATGTCGGCGCCGGTTCCCTCGGCTGATGTTCACCTCGGTGCATTGGCGTGGACTTGCCGCCATGCTCGCATGGTGGCTTCGGCCATAGCTAGCACCTTTCTTGGAAGTGGTAGGCATGCATCTCATATTGTTCCATTCCGTGCTCTCCATATATGATATAATATTGCAGCTACGTAGATCATTCCATCAGAGTCTAGAACATTTAATATTTCACTAAACTATTCATGAAAAATATTTGTCACCCTCATGGGCAGCTCAATTGGTCACAGATGTGAAAGTTTGGAAGAATGACCAGAGATCAAGATTTACATCCTCCCAAATGCTCTGTCGGGTCGGGGTGTGGAGGCCCCTTAGGGTTGGGTCCAGCCTTTGAAGAATGAAAAATATTTGTCACAATATTTGGGAGTACACAATACCAATGAATGCATAGTGTCCTCATTGATGATCCCACACATGGCACATAATGGATCAACATCTACCCTCTTTATAAGCAAGTTGTTGGTAGTGGAAAAGATATCACTTATAACTGTCTATAGAAAGGTTTTTCATTTGAGTGAAATTTTAAGTTTCCAATAGGGCGAGCCATTTTGTAAAAGCATTATTAATATTATGAATAAGGGTCAAATAGGCCATTGAACTGCACACAATAATACAATTAGGCCACTGAACCTAAAAACACAACAATTAGGTCCCTAAACTAACTAATTAATGCAATTGCATCAATTTATAAGTTTTACAGGTTAGTAACAAGTCACCCAAAATTTAAAATATTTTTTTAAAATAATAATTAATTTTATTTAAAAAAAAAAAAAGTTTCCCGTCTCCGCCGGAGACGAGTTTGAGACGGGAAACATTTTTTTTTTTTAAATTTTATTTTATTATTTTTAAATAATAAATTTTAAAAAAATAATTTAAATATTAGGTGACATGTTACTAAGTTGCAAAACTTGTAAATTAGACTAATTGAATAAAATTGGTTAGTTTAAGGATTTAATTATTGTTATTTTAAGTTCAGTGGCTTAATTCCATTATTATGTACAGTTTCAATGGTCTATTTGACTCTTATTCTTTAATATATTATTTTCATAATCGATGGTGATGCTCTAAATAGCACGAAAATGAGAAATAAAAAATATATTAAAAATAAAACGTGACCAGGACTATGTGTTCTAATGGTATCCGGGTTGGACTTCCATTTGGAAGGTTGTGAGTTCGAGCCTCAGTGGAGGCGTTATTGGCTCTTTGTGTTTCAGAGGGCCATTGTGTTTCAGTAGGTTGAGAAAGTATATGAACAGATACTACAATGTAATAGGGCCAGTAGCATTCAAATATAGTAAAAATATAAATGTGAAACGGATCTAAAATCCCAACATTGTACAGTGTTTTTGAGATTTTTACTTGGTTTTGGGCCTTTAATTTCCATATCCAAAAGTTCAGAGAAAAGTAGTCCAGACTCCAGAGGCCCTCGATTTTGTGAACTCAAAAATAGAAGTCTAGAATAGAATCGAAACGTATGGTCCATTTCATCTTACGCTAACACTGTAACGTAATTAATCTTCTCCCCAGAATGATTCCACTACTGCTTCCTGGCTCTGGCCGTTGATGTGGCTTCAAAATCTATATGAAAATCTTTGTAGTCTACACAGGTTGGTGCCCATATCTCCATTTTCATTTGCTTTTCCCTTCAATTGAATGATCTTTTGGTGTATGTTAATTTTTTTTTTTTTTTTTTTAATGTTTCGCAAATTCTAGAAATCATGAATTCATTGATGCTGCCCCTTCAATTTTCACTTCGTACGCGCCCCTGCTTTAGATCTCAAAATCCGCTATTTGTATTAAAATCTTCGCAGTGTACACAGGTTGGTGCCTATGTCTCTATTTTCAGTTACTTTTCCTTTCAATTGAATGATCTTTTTGGGTGTTTGTTAATTTATTTAGTTCTAATGTTTCACAAATGTTGGGAATCATGGATTCATTGACACTTCCTTTAATTTGCACCTCTTTGATGAATCATGTGCTTTCATGTTTAATTCAGTTGTTTATTTGTCCATGTAAAGATTTGAAATTTACTAAACCACAATCACCCAAACCAACTTTATTTCATTTGATATAAAATGGGTACAAACATAACAAACACATCACTACATTACTTGTTTCCTCCATGTCACACATTCACTTTCATGATTACAGAAAAATTATTACTATTACTTGCAAACAGATGAAGTTCACCAATACAACTCTAGGTAGGGACTTGTGTTCCAACGAAGCTAAATCCAACTGCAAAGAAGGCCAATGCTTGTAGCACTAGGTATATATAAAACAGGTCGTGCCCGAATATGATATCATATGAAGCACATTGTAGCATAAAAAACCCCATCATAATCTCCAGCAAATGGATCCTGTTTGTAAGATTACAATTTAGTGATTATTTCAAGAAAGTTTTCCAAAAGCAATATAATGATTTCTCAGTAGTCATTTGGAATAGATATATTATCTAGTAGAAATTTACACATTTAGAGTTAAATATGTTACCGTTCTCTAAGCCTGCATGTTCTTCTTCTTGGTGCTCTCACAGCTTGCCTTTGCTTAGCTGCATTTCCCAACTTTTCTGTTACAACCCATTCATTGGCTCGATTTGCTTCTAACAATCCTATTATTGCAGCCTTAGTCCGATGTAGAGACATGACATTTTCGAATAATATCCAAACCACAAGAAGATGGAAAGACCTTTTCCAAGCATAGAGAATATTTAGACATTGTTCAATAATTCAATAAAAGTTATTGAAATCAACTCTTAGATTTTTTCTCTTTAGTGGGGTTGCATACCTCTTTGTGCAAGCTGCATTTAGAATTGTTATAGTTGCAGGAAGATATATCGCTATAGGTTTTGTAAGATGTAATTCGGGGATTACAATAGCGAATGGGATCACAACACAGTAGAAGAAAAAGGTCACCCAGTGTGCAATAATCTTCCTCACAAAGAAAAAAGCATAGATCAAGTGAAATTTCTTGTATAGGGATACACGCTGCATTATACATGAGATATCCTGTGTGAGTTTTTTGAATTCTTATTGATACAAAGAAATCATTGTTGAATTTAATTACCTCACTCTTGAGGATTTCTTTGAACATCTTCCTGAAGAGGTTAGCTGGGCCACATGACCAACGATGCTGTTGAAACCTATAAGCCTTGAAGGTGCTTGGGAGTTCATTTTTTACCTAATGAACTATTTTAGTTGCCTGATATATAGAGACATGATCTTCTAACTATTACTATAAATAAATCTGTAAATAATTAAGAGACTTACTTCCAAGTCACCAATATAAAGAAATTTCCATCCTCTTAGGCTAGCTCTGACCGCAAGGTCCATGTCTTCCACTGTTGTTCGGTCTTTCCATCCACCGGCATCATGTAGTGCTTGGAGCCTCCAAACACCAGCAGTCCCTAGAACAATATTTGAAATTGTTAATTACATTTATTAAATATGCTAGAGTGATACTTGATTCAATGTTTACCGTTGAACCCAAAAAATGAGCAAGTTGATGAGCCAACTTCTTGCTCAACAGTAAAGTGGTAGTCTAGTGACATCTCTTGAAGTCGGGTCATTATACATTCATCTGCATTCACTGTTGAAGTTTCACTCAAGTTAATCACATGAATTGGAACTCAAAAGTGATAAAGGATGAAGTTAATGCTAACATTGGCCTTACCAAATTTCCATCTTGCTTGCACTAATGCCAATTCTGGATTTTCTAGAAGATAAGGGATGGTCCTCCAAAGAAAATCATGATCTGGCTGAAAGTCAGCATCAAAGATGGCTACAAATTCACAATCATCAACATATTGCTTTTTTAGACCTTCACGTAAAGCACCAGCCTTGTAACCATTCCTGTTGTTCCTTGTCTCATACTTCACATTAACCCCTCTCCGCATCCACATCTTACATTCATCCTCCACTAGTTTCTGCATACAAATTTCTCAAAGAATTATTGTAAATTCATAAGATTATGAATTATGATAGATCTTTTTTAGTAAATATGTTTTCGAGAGCATACCCTTAGATTATCATTGGTGGAGTCATCAAGGATTTGCACGATAAGCCGATCAGATGGCCATGTAAACCCGCATACAGCTCCGATAGAGAGCTTGTAAACCTGGTGAAAAAAATAGGAGAAAATAATAAGTATGGTTATCTTTTTCATTATGGTAAATATTTGTAAACCTGGTGAAAAAAATAGGCGAAAATAATAAAAGTATGGAAAGTGTTTTCTTGCCTAGTTGCTCAAGAAACCCTTGAGGTAACTTTTTTTAAGTTGGGGTGGCTAATAGTGGTTATCATTGTAAGTTTTTACATTTAATTACTAAATTGAGCATCTTAAGGTTGAGGCTCTTATTATAAGCTGGCCACAATGTTTGTATAATTTCATTATGCATTCACTTGGTATAAAAACATATATGCAACTAATGCAAAGATATTAAAATTGTAATGGGTTGTACCTCTTTTTCATTAAACATGGGAACTTGGACCAAGACCTTTGGGTAGTTTTGGTTTTGTTCTAGGTCTTCTTTCAAGGCATCCAACTTATACCTCGTGTACCTTTTCCGGCCAAAGCACTTAACAACAACTATTACAATTGCCATGTAAATCCTTTCAAGAAAGAGCATAACGGACATCATTATGCAGAAAGACATTGCAATTTTCAGAATTGGCACGAGAATTGGAACTCGTATGCTATCCCATGCATGTTTGAGACTTTCAACTGGTGTGGTATACATTCCATTGCCTGGCTCGCTGAAAACAATTCCCCTCATTCTCACAACTTTAGGTTACTAAACGAATGAACCCGGACTAGAGATGAGAGAGAGAACCTAGGGGATGAATTGAAGGCAATGACCTTAGAGAGAAGGTTTACCTAGCCAAGTTGTGTTGAATAGTTTGGCTATTGTGCTTTAAATAGAGAGATTATGGTGAAGATGTAGTCATGTTGATAAGGAAATCATTTGGGATACGGTGGAGGATGCCGTTTATTGAGAGTTCCATTATAAATAAGGCTCTTCTATGAGAAAGACACACGGTCTACATGCAAGTGATGGTGCCGTAACACATCTCTACTAGCTGGAGTATTGACATTTTTTGCCGAATATAGTTTGAGGTTCCGTCGGCAAATAGTATAGATATGGTTCATTATTTGGTTCTCTCTTCTTTTTATTTTATTTTATTTATTTATTATTTTTACGGTTTATGGTGTCAACATAATTCTTTTCGCTCAAATTCTTCTATACGCTTCTAAACATCTTACCTCATGGCTCTCTTTGCTACCGTGAATTTAGCAACATTTCTCTCCCCTTTTTCGTTAAAAAGTTGTTACTTGTATTACCAATGTACTCAAATTTTAATCTCTGTATCTTGATGACTTTCAAACGACTTAGTTGAGGAAAACGTGAAAGATTTTTCTACTGAATGCGGTTGCCAAACTTTTGTTTGATTCGATTTTTGGAAAATGAGTCACGCATTCATCAACGTTTTAATTATAGAAATACGTGTCGTGAAATCCTTTGTGAATTGTTAGATTATTTTGTGGGCATCTGTATTCAATGTAAATAACATACCTTAAATAGTTCATCTAATTGTCAATTTCAGGCTTCTTGAACTGAATTTTTATTGATACATATCATGATTATTTCCTTTTTTAAGTTGGTTTGCTTAAACATATTACTGATTTTCTAAAGGATGAATTTATAAGGTGCTCAACTGCTCACTGCCCTATGCATAATATTGTCTACTCTAGTTATAAGAATTTTGATTTTTTTGCAAGTATATTTTGTTGAGGGCATATGTTATGTTGGATGAATATTCAGTCTTTAATGGTTTTCATCATTTTCCTATGTGGAAACGGTTGTTATGCTACTCTAACTCTAATAAAGCAATAATTTGTTAACAAATTCATTTTCTAAGCATATGATTCTTGTGTGGATTGTGTTGCCAATACTGTTAATTTTTAAATGTATGGCTGATGGCTATTTGTTAATTACTCTATTTAAGAATTATTTGGTTTTTGAAATTACATATTGCTTGTTCCTGATGAATTAAATGCTTGATTTTGAATTCTGTTTTTGCCATAATGGCTTATTTTGGTAAGTTCATTTATGAAAAGTTTGTATGGATGCTTTTTCATAGTTCTGATGACCTGTGACTCTGTAAGTGATGAACTTTGCATTTCAAGTTGAAAAAATAATCCTATTTATACATAATATTGAAAGTTACGCAACTCTTATGAGCTGTAGAATGACTGCCTTTAAAGTTCCTAGATGTCATGCCATTTTACAGTGGTTAGCTTAACTGATGCCTATTTGAAACCCATTTGTCAATGCATTTTTAAAGGATATATATATTTCAACAATTCAACTTGAGATGCTTCCATTGCATAAGTGAATTATATCTCTTGTTACCTTAATTAGGAGGATAAATGGTTTGCTTGTTAAAATATAGACATTATTTCTTTCTGCCTTGGGTAGTGTAAAAATTTAGGGATTGATAGGCCTAGCTTGTTACGAATAGCTACCATTCACTATTGAGATGGAAACTAATATGTATAAACCAAAGAAATGAAGAATAATGATTATATTAATAATATTATAATGCATACGCTCTAGTAGAAATACACATGCTTATATTGGAATATTATGGGCACATAAATGAATATCCTATAGGCTTAATATTTTTAGCTCTTGGCTCAGCTAAACTAAATTGTAGCCCCATATGTATTTCAATATGATAAGTGTCCTAAACTCTTTTTTTTTCCCCTTACACTTTTTAGTGTTTTCGCTTGTTACTCATTATCCTAATATCCTATTGATCTTATTTTATCACTTATTGAATTATATTATTTGTGTTTAGGTGACTTGACAAGAAAATGATATTTTGAGCCAAACGTTGAGCTATTTGATCAAGTTTTGAAGTCATCACAGCACGGGGATATTTTTGTGAGGTAAAATGAAGCAAAGATCGATACAACACTCCTTTATGTGCTAAATATTGGAATGGTCTTGATGATATATGCAATTCAATGCAAAGCAAAAGAAAGCAAGGTTGTATTTCTCTCCCAAATTGACTTCTTCTTAGTATTTGAATCATTACTTGATGTAGGAAGATAAAATTGGAGTGATTCCAGCGGCATTGGGTTAAAGATCTACAACTTATGTGAAGACTATAAAGGGTAATTCAGATTTTTCTGGGGTGAAAAATAGTTTAGAAGACAAAATAGCTGGATTAAACAGAGGCTTGTATTCTGCCTAGTAGGCACGACTCTGTGCCTCTGTGCATTCTGTGCTTGTTATTTTTTGGCCAGGGGCTTGCCTCAATTTAATCACTTTTTTACCTAATTTTGAGAGGAACACTTCACCCTTTTACTCTTTCAATTTCCTTTTATTTCCTACTTACTTTTAGCATAGTTTAACTTATATGGAGTATTAGTGTAGATTTCTTATTCCTCTTTAGTTCTAAGCCAAAGAACATTGCAATCTTGAATTTGCAATTAAGCATCAATAGATAAGTTGTCTTAATTTAACCTTTATCATTTATTTTCCATTAATGGTTCTATCTACCTCACTTATATTGTGTATTTGTTGTGCTAGGAGTAGCTAAATATCCAGGGTTTGAATTTGGTTTGGCTTCTAACCTTTATCATTTATTTTCCATTAATGTCTATTTGACTTGTATTGTATAAAGGGAATAGTTTGGGTGTTATAGGGTTGGTTGTTTGAGTTGGGTATAAGTTAAAATTGTATATAGTTGTTGGATCTCAATTATATGTTTGGAATAAGGGTCAAATAGGACATCACAGCTACACACCAAAATGTAACTAGGCCATTAAACTCAAAACTAACCAATTTCATGCCATTTTTTAGGTTTCAAGATATACATACATGTGGTGAAAATAAGTGCAAGTTTTTCAATTTAAAATAATAAAATTCATCATATCATAAATGTCGCACTAATTAAGAGGTATTATTACAACGCGGTGCATATTAATTATGAAGGAAAATTACACTTTGTAATTTTTTTTTTTTTTGAATTATGGTGATGTAAGAGCTGAGCCTAAAGGAGCATGAACTAATTAACTGTAGTGCGTTTTTGATTGTATAGTAATAGTATGATGATCACTTTGTATGAAGATAGTGTTCAACTTCATCAGCAATTACGTCAGAAGCAGCTCCAAGCCCAATAGCTGTGGCTATTCCCATAAATATTTTCCCGATGCTAGACGAGGCATGATGTGGTGGAGTAGTGTGAGGTGCAAGTGGCGGAGGAGGATAAAATGCGTGCGGCGAAGGGTATGGGTATGGATATACCAATACCATACCGTTACCGGGTTGTTGTTGAAACGGCGGATGCTGATGTACGGCGTAGGGTGGCGGAGCTGGATACTGATGAGGAGGCACCATAGCGGGTTGGGGTTGATGATACGCTACTTGAGGTGGCGGAGGAGGATACTGATGACAGGCTTGGGGTGGCGGTGGAAACGGTGGTGGGTGACAGTATCCGTGTGGACACTGATAATGCAGAGGAGCTGCAGGCTGCTGCGGCGGCGGAGGATAGGTATACGCCGCCGGATGATAATGCCGCGTTGGCTGTCCATTACTTGATGGCATGGCTTCCATTTTTGAGGTGAGCTAGCTAGCTAGCTAGCGATATGATTTGCAGGCAGATCGAAGACTGACTGATAAGGGAAGACCTTGTGGCCTGGGCTAACTGCCTTTTGTATGTATTTATACCGTAAAGAAATCAGAAATGATAGATAGATAGTATAGGCGTGGAATGATTCAAGGCTTCAAGTCACCGTTTACTCTGATCTGCGGGATGTCACTATTGACTATTCAGTATTCACTCACTAAAAATAACGCGTACGTAGTGTAGGTGTAGGGCTTTTACTCTGCGGGCGGGCATGTGCTGATAGGAATGTGCATTGACTCCGCGAGTTGCCACCCCTTCCGCCTTCACTCTAATGAATGGAAGGTGCATGCATCCTACTTTACTACTGCAAAGACTAGGTCTTCAGTCTTCACACCAGTCGCTACCCGACCAAATTACATAACAATCTCATCATATTACATTTTAACCCCGCCCGACCTCTCTCATGTATAAGAATTCATGAGACGGTCTTATACAAAATTTTGTCATATTATATATAAGTACACATGATATTTATTCAAAAAATTCATTGTGCTTAGTTGTTAGAAATTCTAGTTTTTCACTAATAGGTTTAAAGTTCGAGTCTTTTAATATATGAATAACTAAAGATATTTTAAATTAAAGTAATTAATTAATAAGAAATGGGTTGATTAGCTGCCCGTTTAACCCGCTAGTCCGTGCTTCAATCGTTATATCGTGCACCAAGGGCACAATGTATTGTGCGCTCTGGCCCAAAACGATGTCGTTTTTATAAGTTGTAGTGTGGGGAGTTGACGCAAAGGACACCGTTCCGTCCGTCCAATGCCATTATAATTTTTTATTTTTTTTTTTACATTTGTGTTTATGTGTATTATGTATTATGTTAGATTATGTGTATTATGTTAAAAGTTTATGTGTATTCTACTATATAATTCTGTACATCCGAAACAAAGAATTTGTTTTTATTTTATTTCAGAAATTAACGGCAAAAGCAAGAAACAACATCGTTTTGACCATTGTACGTCCTGGTGCACGATATAATTTGCCCCGTGCTTAGCCGGGTTGGGACCAAAAAAAAAAAAAAAAAAAAAAAGAGTAAATACTGGCAGAGGTCCTCCGACTTTGGTGGCACTGCCAATTTTAGTACTCAACTTTTAAATCAACCACTTTTAGTCCTCTTACTTTTTGTTTCTAGCCACCTATGGTCCTTTCGTTAAACTTGACCATCTAATGCTGTTTTCTAAAAGACAATTAAGTCCTTTCATAATTAATTTATTAATTATTATGTTTAATTTCCGCTTCAGAATAGTCAAACAATGGTTTCCGCAGCTATGGACGTGTACAAAACCAGCTCGTGAATCAAAATGGCGTACAAAAGCTGGTACGAAGGTTGTGCCAAAACGCCGTCGGGATATCTCGGTATGACTCAGCGAACATAATAATTAATAAATTAATTATGAAAGGACTGAATTATTCTTGAGAAAACGGCATTAGATGATCAAGTTTAACGGAAGGACCTTAGATGGCTAGAAACAAAAAGTAAGAGGACTAAGAGTGGTTGATTTAAAAATTTAGGACTAAAAGTGGCAGTGCCACCAAAGTCAGAGGACCTCCGCTGTTATTTACTAAAAAAAAACTAACCCGCGACCTATTTCTTCATCGGCCCATGATGGGTTGGCCCGTTTTGATAGTGTGAACAATCGTTATGCGTTGGACCCGTGTCCAGCATGCTTGCTGGACACGGATAACAGTGCCGTTAGGCACTGTTTTTTTTTTTTTTTTTTTTTTTTAAATTTTTAATTTCAGACCGCTTCGTTATAGGAGTATATGTTCATAATTTTATTACTATATGTTAATAACTGTACATTCATAACTCTATAACTGTACGTTCATAACTCTATAACTGTACATTCATAACTCCATAACTGTACATTCATAATTTTCGAAGCTCTATGTTCACAATTTTAGAGCTCTATGTTCATAATTTTATCACTATATGTTCATAATTGTAAGTTCATAATGTTAGAGCTCTTTGTTCATAATTCGATCAATAACTGTACATTCATAATTCCATACATGTAGATTCATAATCTCATAACTGTAGATTCATAACTCCATAACTGTAGATTCATAACTCTATAACTGTACAATCATAACTCCATAACTGTACATTCATAATCTTCGAAGCTCTATATTCACAATTTTAAAGCTCCATGGTCATAATTTTATCACTATATATGTTCATAATTGTAAGTTCATAATGTTAGAGTTCTGTGTTCATAATTTCATAATTGCATAACTGTACATTCATAACGGCATAACTGTACATTCATAACGGCATAACTGTACATTCATAATCCAAAAAAAAAAAAAAATAACGTTGTTAACGCCGTTAACGGCAAAACACGCACAATTTTTTTTTTTTAAAACTAAATGACACGTTTTTTTTGAAAAACGACGTCGTTTTGGGCCCGTGTCCACAATTCACTGTGGACACGGGTCCGGGGCATAATTTGCCTAGTGTGAAGCATTGGGCCCCTCCAAACTTTAAAGCCCAAAACACTTCAATTACAAAGCCCAAAACCAAACTCGAAAACTCACTACGGTGTCGTATTACTGTTGCCTTTTCGTTTATGATTCATCACATGCCAGAAACCCTAGCTGCAAAATTCGCAGAGGAAGATCAAAGATGGGAGGGAAGTGTCCCCATAGAAGCGTGAAGAAGCGCCGCTACTCTCACAAAACAGCTCGCCGCACTAAATTCCTCCTCAAAGGAGATGACGCAGTTTACCAGGAGCTTAACAAGCCGGACGCGGACGCCCAGACCAAAAACATGCCTGTAGATGAAGACCTCCCAGGCATGGGCCAGTACTACTGTCTTCACTGCGAGTAAGAAAGATTTTAACTTTTGTTTCAGCTCAACATTATATTCTGTTTTTCCACAGTTCTTCGTGGTATAACTTTTGTTTAATTGTGTAAATTTACAGCTGGTTTTTTTTTTTTTTTTTTTTTTTTAAATTGTTAATTTATCACCTTTTTATTGTGGCTGATGTTGTTGCAGTCGATATTTTGCGAATGTTACGGTGAGGGATGAGCATTTCAAGACTAAAAAACACAGGAGGCGGTATGATTTTATTATTATTTTTTTCTACCTTAGTTTTATTTAAAGAATATATATTGATAATTTTCACGAATTTATTGTAATTCTATTTTTGCTCTATTTGATTGCTGATTCTGTGTGTAAAGAGCTTCTTGGGAAGCATGAATATTATTACTATGGATTTGCTTAGCTTGTCGTAAGGTGTTCTCCTTTGCAATAAGAATGTAACTTGGTTGGCTAAGAATGAAAATAAATATTCTATTCACCATATATACTATGGATTGAATGAGCTCACTTTACATTTGGGCTCATCACTAGATGCGATGAAAGATATTAGATATGCCTTTTGGCTTTTGGTTCGCATTGGAGCCTGTAATGCTTACTTGAAATTGTGGACCTAGTGGTGAGAATAGTGTAGTTGCCTAGTTCTTTGAATCGGAAAGCTTTGACCTTATAGCTGTTCGAAACATATGTTGGCCAGACAATGTTGTTGATCTCTAAATGACAGATTGACTTCCTCATGAATTTCATGTTTTTCTTCTTCGATAAAAAGATGTCCTGACTAAAGTAGTAATGGCTACTATATTCTATATATTGAACTACATTAGCAAGAGCCAGAGGCATTACTCTAACTTTCTCAGACCAGTTTTACCTGATTTACAAGGTTTCTATCCCGCAACATCACCAACATGGTTACTACATGAGTTCTAGATAGCATGGGAAAATCCTTGACTTCAATTCTTTAAAGCTTCTAGAATGATTGATTTCTTAATTTGTGGGCTAGAGATGGTATTCATTTTCTATTTCTGTGCACTTCTTTATTGAAATGAAAGCTGCAGAGCACTTGTTAATGCCGATAAAGTGAGGTCTGATGCATTATGAATTTTCATCATGCAGTGTGAAGCTGATGATGGGGCCTGCACCCCACACACAACTCGATGCTGACTTAGCTGCTGGAATGGGCATGCCAGATAACGGCCCGAAGCTCATGTTAATGGGTTGAGCTTTGCCTTTTTGTTTGTTCGATGTGAGCTCTGAGCTGTGACAATGGAGACTTCGTTTTAAGAATCTTTCAATATATTTATGTTTTTATTACAGTATGATACTAGTTAATCAACATTCTCACTGTCAATATAGCTAGCTTCAAATTGTGTTGTCTCTTTTTGTTTACCTTAGTTCATTTGTATCAAGAACAAAAATGTATGAATTACAAGGAACCATGCCATATGTATTGATCGGGAATTCTTCATTACCTTGTTAATCATGAGTCATAGGAAACCACTTGGTCTGGTGCTTGAACTATTGAATTAAAGCTTATCTCCCTCTATGAACAAGATAATAGTTTGATCTTATGATTACTTTGGTACTGTCCAGTCTAGCTGCTGACAGGTCCTGAAGGATGAAACATTGAAGTAATAAATATAGAAGTTGTCTCCAAGTCTATGGCCTCTTCTAATAAGTTGTACCTTATAACTTGTCTTCAAGTGAATGCCCCAATGTGTGCTTTAAACAGGGGCTGTCACCAAAAAAAGCCCTTCAAAATGCCCCATTGGTGCCCACTGGAATCCTACTTGCAACAATTCTGCCATCATTATATATAATGCTTACTTTAAAGTTTAAAGTGAGGTCCATGCATCTACAGCAGAAGATTTATTTAAATTTTTATTGGAGTCACGTCTCTATCAAAGCAAGACAGTATAGCATCATCATCATGTTGAAGCAAGCATGATTTGCTTGTAATTTTCCCAGAATTCTTCCTCCCTTGTCAGTCATGCACTTCAGCTCCCACCAAAAGCAAACCTCCATGATAGCCAAGCTAGGTCGTCTGCCATGTTACAATCATGAATCTTAGCCCCTTCTCTTTTGTCTTGTTTCATGCACCGGGTTCCCCCTTTTGCATGTCAACCACCACGTGAACTCAACTTCAATAATGCTGTTTCCTCACACTTTCGCAATCACCATTGTCATCCATCTTCACACACAAAGATGCTCACACAGGCCCCCCGCATGACTTGCTTAGTTGGTTGATTGATCCTATCAGGCTTCGAATTCCACTGAAACTTGGGGGGTCATTGGGTGACCTTGACATATTAGAAGAGATGAATTGAAGTCCCTTTATGTGTAGAGTGTACAGGCAGGGGCGAGAACCTAGAGACTAAGACTGAGACGGTAATAATCCCAACATCTTATCTTGTTGGAATCCAATACTTGGGATCATTCGGGTTGTATAGCTCATACATATGATTCTTGATTATCAAGATTGGGTATGATAATGGCATTATGATTGAATCAAGTGAGGATATTAATGGAGCTGAAGTGAAAAACATAAATTAGATTAATGCACATAATATACTATGCTATACCATAACAAAACAGTTAAGGAAAGAGTGGCATCCAAAAATAATAGTAGCAGGCTTGCTTGCAGTATACTCCTTACTACTTGGATTTTTCCTCCTGCCCCTAATCAATGTCTTCCTTCTTCTCTCTCAAATCTCAATCTTGATCTTCCCTGGGGCGTCCAGATGTCGAGCTCGTTGCCATGTTCACTGCTTCCCCGTGTGTGAACCGTTGTAACTGTATCATGCGAGCGTAGATGCCATCAGGGTAGTGCTTGAGCAGATGAGAGTGAGAGCCTTGTTCTGCTACTTTTCCATCGTCTATCACTGCAATCACCTGAGCATTTCTGATAGTGGATAGCCTGTGTGCAACCACGATTGTCGTCTTTCCAGCACAGGCGCGCTCCAGCGCTTCTTGCACGCACCTTTCGGACTCAGCATCGAGGGCGCTTGTGGCTTCGTCCAGCAGCATTAGCTCTGCTTTCCTCAGGAAGGCTCGGGCAATTGCGATTCTCTGCTTCTGTCCTCCAGAGAGCTGAACTCCTCTTTCGCCAACGAAGGTTTTGTAGCCATCGGGCAATGCTGAAACGAACTTGTGAGCATTTGCCAACGTTGCTGCTTCGATTATCTCAGCTTCACTTGCTGATTCATGTCCATAAGCAATGTTTTCATATATGGTTGTAGCAAACAGGCAAGGCTCTTGTGGCACCACAGCAACGTGGCGTCTAAGTGACTTGAGATTGTATTTTCGGATATCTTTGCCATCGATCATAACCCGCCCAGATGATGGCTCATAGAACCTCTCTATAAGTGCAATCACCGAGCTCTTCCCACATCCACTCGGGCCAACAAGTGCAAGAGTTTTACCAGCTCTAGCCCGAAGGTTCAAATCCTTGAAAATTGGCACATCAGGCCTGGAAGGATAGGAGAAGTCTACATGCTTGAACTCAACTTCACCACGGATTTTGTCAGGCACGGGGGTGGCATCTGGATCATCGGGCTCGATTTCAGTCTTGCGGTCTAGGAGTTCGAAAACTGACCTCATTGCCCGCCCGCCCTTAATAAAGTCAGGTGCTAAGGTTAGTGTTTCAGCTGCCCCATTAGCAGACACCATGAGGACCATGAACACACGGATTGTCTTCGAGAAGTCAGAGATTCCATGCTTCACAAGCCAAGAAGCGTACCAAAGACCAAGAGCATAGGAAGCATAAAGCAAGAACTGGGCTATTCCATATCCACTTCCAGCAATCTGTCCCTTCCAGAAGCACCTCCTAAGCGGAGTTTGGAGATTGGAACTGAAAAGGCTAACGATTTTCGTTTCTGAATTAAACGCTGCAACCGTTCTTACATTGGCTACAGCTTCACCAGCAAGTTGTGTGCCTTTCGCATGAGCAGCTTCAAGATCTCCCGAGAACCCTTGCAAGAACATTTTCTGTAGATCGAGAATAAAATTCAATAATATGGTGAAGAGTATAATACATGACTTTCATTATAGATAATAAGCACAATAATAATGTGAATATGCATGCATTCATTAATTTCTCCAAAACCAACCTGCAAAACAGTTGCAGCAACAACCACAGGGAAAACAGCAATTAGGACAAGCGATAGACGCCACTGCAATACAAATCCTGCTGTGCATGCAACTAGCATGAGGGCTGAGTTCTGCATAATAACCGAGATTCGATCCCCGATGGCTGACCTCACATTGTTTGCGTCCAACGCAAGCCTTGCTGCAACTCTAGAACTCTCATTTTCTTCCTGATCGAACCAGGCCAATTCATTCTTGAGCACAGCTGCCAACATTTTTTCCCGAACTCTCTTTGTCAAGTTCTCTCCCACAACATCCCAGAAGAAGTGTTGCAATGTGTTGAAAATGAGAGCAGCAGACGAGACACCAATTAAAAGATAACAATATTTCGCGATTTCTCTAATCATGTAAGCATGGTCTGGATTGTAATACACGCTAAGAACAGCACTCAGGACATATGCAAAGAATGCACTAAGAGAACCACAGATGACAGAGCCAATGGAGCCAACTAAAGCGTAAGCCCACTCAGGAGAGTTCATCTTCGCAAGGCGCCAGAAGGAACTAGCTTGGTCCTTGAACGCAAGCTTTTCATGGCGATAATTAGGATATGCAGCATCCAAGGACAGGCTAAAGTCAGAGGTAGAGAAGTCAGATAGGCGACGAGAGTATGGAGATCGCCCATATGACGAGTTTCTTGCTATTATCGGTGAGCTCACAGAGTTCCTAGCACTAGAAGGCCTGCATGCAAAGAGATTAAGAGCGTTGAAGAAGAAGAAGACACTAAATACAGTTCACTAGGCCTTAACTACTAACTAACACACCTGGCACTGCTCTTTCTTGCATTATTCATAGCTGTTTCGTGAGCTGCTTCCTGCATTCTAATAAGTTTAGCATACACACCATGTTCTCCTTTAGAAATGAGCTCATCATGGGACCCGATTTCGGATACACTGCCTTGCTGCAGAACGGCCACGAGGTCAGCCTTGCGGATGGTAGAAAGGCGATGGGCAATGACAAGAGTCGTCCTTCCAATCATGAACCTGTCGAGAGCCTCTTGCACTAGCTTCTCCGATTCGGAATCTAATGCACTTGTCGCCTCATCCAACAGCAGGATTGCAGGGTTCTTAAGCATCGCCCTTGCAATAGCTATTCTTTGCTTCTGTCCACCAGATAATTGTAACCCCCGCTCTCCTACCTGCATTTTAACTTTACTCATCACTCATGCCTAATCATATTATTATTTATTTCAGGCTTGATAAACACATACATTCTGTAACATGTAACTTAAATTTATTTACTGTATAATCTAAATAGACAAATCAGCATTTTATTCTTAAGTTATTTGTGGTTCCAATGTCATATATGTGTCTGTTTGTTGACATTATATTTTCAATGCATTGTTTTATATATTGTTAATGGCAGAGAGTCCCCACGATCTCCTGTGAGCCCCACACAATCTCAAGTTGTTAATTATTTATTCTGTGGGGATTAATCTTGTTATATATTTAATTTGATGAACCCAACATGCCCTTCATTTTCTATTCATAAATATATATATGCTGCACTTCTCCTATGGTAATGTGACCTCGCTTCTGAGTCCTTGTTTTCACATGAATAAGTTCAAGTCATTTATTCCAGCACATGCATTGTTGACTGAAACCCATGTTACCCTTTTCTTAAATGCACATTTGACTTTATAAAAAGATTAGGTTTGTTTGTTGAACAAATGAGTAATTAATTAGTCAGAAATGTCAAAACGAATGAACAAATGAAAAGATTAGCTATGGTATCAGACTTTAGAGTTCGTTACCTGAGTATCAAAACCATCGGGGAGCTTGATAATGAAGGAATGAGCATTTGCAACTCTGGCAGCCTCTTCGACCTCATTAGAACTGGCATCTGGTCGACCCAATAGTATGTTTTCTTTGATCGTGGTGGCAAATAGTGCTGGCTCTTGGCTTACAAGCCCGATTTGTTGCCTTAGCCATCTAAGCTTTAATGTCTTGATATCATGTCCATCCAGTACGACTTGTCCTGCAAAAAACTATTTATTAACACACATTTCCATCCAAACTAAACTTTAATTTGCTTCAGCTGATTGGCATTCATCATAACATTTGCACGATATATTGCAACTTATTGAAAGATTTATTGATCCATGTAGAGTAATAATACCTGAGGTGGGATCATAGAACCTCTCAATAAGGGAGACCACAGTGCTTTTCCCAGAACCACTACTTCCAACCAAGGCAATTGTCTTCCCAGCAGGGACAAGGAGGGAAAAGTTGTTGAGAATTTGAATATCAGGCCTTGAAGGGTAGCAGAATTCTACATTCTTCAGCTCTAATTGTCCAGTAACACAATCTAATTCCAACCCGCTTTCGCTATTCCTCTCAACACTCGGTTTGTGATCGATTATACGGTATATTCTGGCAGCTGAAACTCTAGCCTTCACAAATGCAGTCATGCTAGGGGCAGATTGCCCCAATGCCCTGATGAAAACCAAAGATAAGGGAAAAACAGAAACACAAAAGAGGAATTGAAGAAGAAGAAGAAGAAAATGAATCAAGTGTTAGTACTTACAGTCCACCGATCATGACAGCGAACATTGTGGCCAGTGCAAGTCCTCCATTTGTGGTATGATGCCTAACCAAATAGCCTCCATACCACAGTAAAAGGGCATAACAGCAGAAAACAGTGAAATATGTAGCTCCCAGTCCCAGGCCTTTAGATAAGCCACTCTTGTAACCAAGTTTCTGGGCAACCTTCAATGCAGCAGAATAGGCTTGTAATGCTTTTGTCTCACCAACAAAGGCAAATACTGTTCGGATTTGAACCACTGTCTGCAATTTTGGATTGAAATTAGTAAAACCCAGATTGAGAAAGAAGGAAAAAGACAGGATATTCGTTAAATTATGCCAAAATTGAGGAATTTTCTTCACCTGTTCCACAATGTTTCCTGCTTTTGAAAGCGCTTCTTGGCTCTTCCCAGAAAGCTTGGCTAATGTCATGGTGTGAATGGCCCCAATCACAGCTATGAGAGGAACCACAGCAAGAGTGACCAAAGCTAACTGCCAAACTGCCGTGAAACCAACCACAAACCCAGACACAAATGTTGCCATGTAGTGAAGGAAGTTTCCCAACTGAAAACAACATTAAAAACTCCAAACTGCATAAAATTTCTCAAGAAATTAAGAAGAAAAAAGAAAAAAAGGCCCATCTGTGTTCTTCATTCTTCTTCACCTTCTCACTGATGGCATCCTGGACCATCACTGCATCAGTGTTGATGGTAAACACAACATCTGATGTCCGAACCTCAGTATCAAAGAATTGAATATCTTGATTCAGAGCAGCCTCTAAGTACTTGATCCTCATTTTAGCTGATTGCCTCTCCCCAGTCCACATCCAACATGAAATCTCTGCAACCATTCCATCTATTCCAATCAAGAAACCAGAGAAAAAAAATAATAATAATAAAGTCATAATCTTGATGAAGCTTTACCTGCCCATGAAGATGCCCATATTGCAGCTCCAACTACAAGAAAATAAAATGCATACTGGAAAAACAAAAACAACATAATAATGTCATGAATTCAAGAATCAAAAGCTGCAACAGGAAGAGTGAAAATTAACACGGTGGTGTGAGGAATTGAAGCCCATACATACATACCTTCAAAACTTCTTGAGTCATCTTATCAACATCATTAGCATAGGAACCAAAAGAATTAACAAGATCAGCAAAGAATCTAAGGAACAGGGGGAGTGAAGAGCCATGGACAATGGCACCCAGGCTCCCAATTCCCATGAGAACATAGTCCAAACCATCCGCAAATCTGAAAAGCTCCCCAAACCCAACCGCAGGCGGAGGGGAACTGGGCTTCTCTCCATCTCCAGTAGCAGTAGCAGTAGCGGCGCCGCCTCCTGTGTTCCCTTCAGAACCATCCATATCTCCTTCTTCTCTCTCTTTCCCAGTCTGTGTATTAGTGAGAGTAGCAGTTAATGGTGTAGGGATAATAGAGGAGGGAGAGTTGTTGGGTTTAAAAGAGGAGGAGTCTTCTGCTGACACAACAAGTTCAAGGCCTTGCATTTCAGACCATTTCCACTGCTCAATGCTCTTTATCTCCTCCGACTCTTGTGACATTATTTCCTCTCCGCAATTAAAACCAAACCCACTCCTTTTTTTCAACACACTTCCCTCTTACTCTTCCCCTCTCTCTCTCTATCTCTCTATCTTTTATTATTATTTCTTGTTTCACACTTCAGTTCGTCGTACCACTCCTATTTTACTACCATTTCTCCTCCTTCAAACATGGTTAGGATTGTAAACCTTTCTTTTATTAACTGTTTTTGGGGGTCCTCACCAAGTTGCTTCTTCTGTTAAAAAAGAGAGAAAAAAAAACAGCATAAAATTAAATTGACTGATGATGCTATGATGAGAACAGCCTAGACAGAGAGAGAGAAAGAGAGATAAAGAAGTGACATTGTACACCCCCGACAAGGAATACTGTATGTGCAGTGTAAACTTGAGATTGGACTTTTGACCAAAACCAAATGTGAAACTTGGCAGCTCAAACTTTAATTACTTATTTATAATTGCTGGCTCAGTAAATTTTATTTTTTGTAATTAAAAATTCTCTAGAGGTTGATATTGCATTACTGTGCATGAAAAATCATAATATTATCTTTTTCAGAGAGAAATTCATAATCATTATTTAAGTGTGTACGCCAGATAAATTTAATTTTACTGTAGGATAATTATTGAAATCATATTTTACATGCTTGATCACTCGTTTAAGATATATTATTTTTAAAAAAAATGATTAAGACAGTGGGTATTATTAAAGAAAGGGTAGTAGTTAATTACATACATCCCATCCTCACCAACACAATTGTAGTTAGTACGGAGTACTATTTATTGACTTTTAGAAGTTTGGGTTTTTAATTCTGAAGATTTTGGCTTCTTATGCAAGTTACAATTTCTGCAAGAAATTTCATGTTCTTGCCATGCCTCTCTGTCTCTTTCAGATCTGTGATTGATTTTCTCTTCCAGTAATTCTCATTTTATATTCATTTTTTACTACAGTTTGTTTTTTTTATTTGTCAAATATTTATTTTATAACTTGAAAGAAAGTATTAGTAAGGAAATTCATATGTTTAAAAAAAAAATTAAAAGAATTTTTTATCTTAAAAGTAACATAAATTCATGCAAATTGATGCATACATTGAATAAATGTCTACAAATAGTAAGGATAATCGAATTATTGATTTACTATATAAAAAAAAAACAAATTAAATAATATACTCAATAATATTATTAATTATACTTTTTTGTAATACCAATCAATCATAACATATAGGATTGGGATGTAGATCCAATATCCACTACATTTTGTCCACATCCACATCTTTTAAAGCTTAGTTTGTCAGTTAATCACAAGCATCATGTACTAGATTCCACCAAATTAAACACAATATAATCATATTAATGCTCTTGCAAAACCTATAAAGCATGGTCTTGGTTTTAGTACAATGTTCCACTACATTGGCAATCGCTACTAATTCGTCAGATTAATCTCCAAAATATCTGCAGATTCTTATGGAAAACCAAAAAATGACAGAAAATAAAAATGATTTTCTTTAATTTTTTTGAATAAACAGTACTGTACCTTATAGGATTAGTTAAATGAAGTACACTTTAATGGGTTGTTATCTTTGAGATTTGAGCATAACACAAAAGTTTTTTTTTTTTAAACCCCCTTTAATCAGGCTTTTGCTTTTTTCTTTTTTCTTGAAATTTCATTTTCGGATTAGTCTGATGAGTAAAGCAAAACTGGGGATTTGACTGGGGTCTGACATTCTTGCAAAAAAATTGCAGGGTTATGTCTGTCAGGTTGTATTTAGAAAATTCTAAATACGTATGTAAAGTAAAGTATATGATGGTGATTTAGAATGTCATTTTAATTTAATTTTTTTTTTTTTTGATAAATTGCACAAAAAAAAAAGTAAAAAAATATAATTTTTATGGGGTTTCCTTAAAGAACCCGAAAATTAAAGGAGAAAAAGAAATAGAGGAATTTATGTTTAGTAATTTGATGAAGCAAAGGTTGTGTTGTTTTTTGCAGGCTTTTATGCGTAAGTCCTTCACAACAAAGGTTTCTATTGTTTCGGATGCTCACTCGCATTTGTCGCTGTCTTGTAATGGCTTTACAACATCAAAATTGACTCCACACTTTAGGTCAATTTGTACATACCTAATAAGTTTCAATTCTTTATTAATATTACAACTTTTACATACAGTAACTCAACTATTTCCTTCTTCGTCATAATCATTTATATATCTCTTTAATTTTTTTGTGTCCTAAAAATTTTATTTATATATCTCTTTGTATTCTAGAAAATTAAAGTAAGAAACCTTAAAATATATATGGATAATCTCACTAGATAAGAAATAAATCTTATTTATTTTTTAACGATTTTTTACTATATAAGAAATTGAACTCTAATTATGATTCACGAAAGTTGTTTTACTTTTGTGATTTTTTTTTTATTATATAAGGGAATAAATTTTTTAAACATAATTATATATTGTGATAAACGTACTAAAAGTGTACATATATAATTTTTCTCCTTTAGGTTGAAATGGGGAGGAAGTGATAAAGGTTGAAGGTTGGAGTGTGAATAAAGGAAAGATGGGGGAAAGTGAGATGATGAGAAGTAGGAACATCAATCGTTGTTCATGGTGTTTGGTACGGTGTTGGACATACATACAAATGAAAAAGGTACATACCACGTAATTTTATTTAATTAATGATCAAATAAAGGAATAGTATCTACGTATTTATCTGCCAAACATCAAACATGTATACTTACTTGTTAAGCCACGAGTATATCTACTAAATTTGTAGATGATAAGAGAAACATGCATGCACTCATATATGAAAGTATACACAAGGTAACTTCTGTTCCTGTTGAAAATCAACGACAATATCAAACTATAAACTTGCTTTTAAGAATACGATCCATCGATGATATTCATGCAGTCCAATTCAAGTATGGCTAAAACTATTTTGCTAACTACTTAGGTATGTTGTTAATAAATAATAATATATATATTTTTTAGAATAACTATATTGCATACAAATTCTAACGTTAAACGCCATATATATATATATCCAATTAGTACATAAATTTGTTTCCTTATGGACTAGTCTCATCATATAGCTCCAAACTCGTCCGAAGTGTACCCTAAAATTGGTTGAATGATATGAAAATGGAGCTAGGCCCCTACCAATCCCCTGGATAGCCTTTTGCAATTGTAACCTACAACAACGTAACACATCTATAGCTTCTTTCCCAGTTCAAACCAAGACTATAATAAATTGTCCAAATCTCAACAATCAAACTGAATGATTACCAATAATCTTCTTCAACTTGTCCCTTAGCATTTTATCTTCAATCCACGGCGCTCCAAGACTGGAATTGTCGACACAATCAAGTCTGAATCCATATAATATATATAATACAAATGAAATTTAGCATTAATCGGAGTAATCTAAGTGAGAGAGCTGGGGACCTCAACATAGTACTGTTTAGCGTGCTATCCTGGTATAGCTAAAGTGCTAATTCTGGAAGAAGATAAAAATGGCAGAAAAAGGTTGTGAAGAGTCATCCCTGTGTTTAAAGACATGCACGTACCAGGAGGCAGGAACATATATACATTTTCCACACGTAGTATGTTGTACGTACGCACTCCCACTCACTTCCTTGCTATCTTCGTCATCACTCATCAATCAATGTTCCTGCACACAATAATACACACCACTCAGATAACCCCAACTAAAATAACTAAAAATACAAATTTGTAACCATAAGATCACGAGTTCAAATCCCAACTTCTTGATTTGAATCGATCAACTATGGACAACCTAAATTAGTTTATCTCCTTGTGATCTTTTGTCAAATAAGATCACCAAATCATATTTGCTCAATATACATCTTCAGATAGTGACTACAAGTTTTCCTTGCCAGGCCAACTAAATTATATTGCCATATTTTTTGCTTATTTTATTTAGTTTTATTTTTCTAGAAATAAATTAGTTGTATTTGCTAGAAATAAAAGTTCTGAAATATATAAATTGAAAAAAGAAAAAATTAATAATGTATTGAAGCAAATGGGGTAGTCGGTGGCCCATTCCCCAAAAGGTAGCAGATTTTCCAACCCCCCAAATAATCAATAATTATTAGTTATTTGTTAATTTGAATATGAATTTATCAGTTAATCAGCATAATTTGGGGAAGAGAGACACCACCTTGAACAAGTCAAAAAGAGGTGCACTAATTTCCTTTCTCACTCTTACATAGCCATCATTGTTTGACCCAAATACTACTTAGAAGCTAGGAATTAATTATTCCCTAAATATTATATCTATTTTATTTATTTAATAATAATCCATTTGTTTCTTCACTAAAAATAGGATAACGTACTCATAATCAAATTAATCAATTCTTAAGTAGTGATATATAATAATGATTTCTAAAGCTGGATATATAGTATAATTTAATTTCGTGTAATTTCTATAATTAGATAACAACATTGATATATATACTCTTTAATAGGGATATATCACTCTTGCGTAAAACCTTCAAACCACAAAAGAAGTAAACCAAACTAGGTATAATTCATGCAATAAACTCAACCAATAGGACATTAACAATAATCGAACTCATAACTTTAGAAATATACTAGAATTATGTTGCACCGACTTAATCACTCCTTTCTGAACAAATATTCATCATTTTCATATTCATATTCAATTCGTTGAATTTAAATTAAATTTTAGTGTTTTTATTTACCATAATATTATTCATTTAATTAAAAGCCATGCCGATTATTCAAATAGTACATTCTCACTTCCAATATAAAGGGGGATTAATTTAAGAATTGATTATTTTAATGTAATGATTAAAATATTATAAAGAATTGAAGCACTAATTATCATATGGCTACTCAATTACTTGTGAAAAAGTGAGGCATGTGACGCTTATTATGCCACTCTATTGTCTTGCTTGTGGGTTAGTGTGCTTTAGTTTATAGGAGGAAAAGCTTAGTACCTGAAACAACGTCATTAATTAAAGTTAAATCGTAATTAGAAAGCATTAATGATTCCAGGCATTGATATAGATGGACTGGATGGAAGGTGCTG